CATGGACTACAGCATGCCGTGCTTTCCTGTCCTTCACCATCTCCCGGAGCTTGCTCAAACTCATGTCCACTGAGTCAGTGATGCCATCCAACCATCTTATCCTCTGTTGCCCCCCTCTCTTCCTGCCCTCAAACTTTCCCAGCACCAGACTCTTTTCCAATGAGTCAACTTAGAGTCAGGTGGCCAAAGTATTGGAGCTTCAGCAATAGTCTTTCCAATGAATAGTCAGGATTGATTTCCTTTAGGGTTAACTGCTTTGATCTCCTTAAAGTTCAAGGGACTCTCAACCGTCTTCTCCAACACCATAGTTTGAAAGAATCAATTCTTCAGCATTCAGCCTTCTTTATGGTCCAACTCTCACATCCATACATGACTACTGGAAAAACCATAGCTTTTACTATACGAACCTTTGTCGGAAAAGTGATGTCTCTGCTTTGCTGGAGCAATGTCGGGCTGGAGCGGGAGCTCACAGCAGAGGACAAGCCAGGGTGCCCCGTGCCGACCGCCCCGCTCGCCGTGCTCACCAGCTCACCATTGTCTAGGTTTGTCATAGTTTTTCTTCCAAGGAGCAAGCATCTTTTAACAGCTGCAGTCACCACCAGTGTTCCCTGACCCCAGACAGCCCCTTTCTGGACCTGACACTTGGTGGGCACCTTTCAGACATCCACAGGGGAGAAAACCACTGGCCCCGGAGGGCTGATGGGGGAGCAATGTCCCAGCACAGCCAGACCCAGCCCAGCTCCACTTGGAGCCAATGGTGAAAGAAACAGGACAGAAGGGGAGCTCAGGGAAGTTTTTGATCACAAACTGGAGTGCCCTGGGACTTGGGCAGGAAGAGGTGAACTGTGGGTTGAGGTGGGAGAGGAGCTGAACCCAGAAGAGGGTCTAGGACAAGGGTCCAGGGGCAAGCTTGCTGACTGTGGGCAGCTGAGCAGGGCTGGGGGCCCCGATCTTGCCTCCAGGCCTGGCTGAAGACGGGATGGGCCTGTGGGGCTCCCTCTCTGCTCAGGTCCCGTCTCCCACGTCCACACTAGCTTCGTGTAGGCTAGCATGCCCCACAGACAGGTCTATTTTGAGGCCAGGCATCCAAAGGCAAGGGGACCTGAGCCCCCGGCTGGAGCGGAAGCTCACAGCAGAGGACAAGCCAGGGTGCCCAGGGCCGCCTGTCCCGCTTGCCGTGCTCACCAGCTCACCCACGGCCGTGTCCCTCCTCCCTCTCCGGGCTGGTCAGTGGGGGCTGGGCTTCACTGTGGGGGTGTAAAAAGGAATCTAAGATTTCGGGGTAACAGAGATCAGAGGCGTGTGGCGGGACACTCCTTCCACCCAGGCCCGCCCTCTGGAGCCCTGAGTCTCTTGGTGGGGCTTGTCTGGGGTCAGCCTTTGCCGTTGCAGGTCCTGAAGCCCGGCTGAAGGGTGAAAGGCCAGAAAACAAGCAGAACCCTCTCTGAACCCCACCCCAGGAGCCCAGCTGTGGGGACAGGAGGGACTCAGTGCAGTGAGCAAGGCGGAGGAATACCGCCCAGTGAGGCTGGCGCTTCTGGCGATTCCACTAGAAAACCTAGGGCACACTGGCCCCAAAGCGCCCAGGATGCAATAAAGAAACTTGAGAGTTCATCAAGGCTTCTAAAACCATGTATTTGAGAGGTTCACTTGAGATAAATTATTTGATGACAAAAAAAAAATTTCAGGGATTGATATAAAATGGAAGCATGCAGGCCAGTGTCACTTCCTTGTGAAAATTGGAGAGGGAGTACTCCCACCCCCAACGCGCCCCCCCCCCCACACACACACACACACGACATCTAGAGCCTCGCTCCTCTCTGAGAAGCTGGTGATAGCAGCTGACCTCGTTCAGGACACGGCAGACGCCGGGGTTGCGCTCTGACTGGGGCTCATTGTCCGTGATGCCCCGCAGGTCAGCGTCCACGTGTGCTCGAGCCTTGGCCAGGTGCCCGGCAAGCTGTCCTCGCCCTCTCCCGGCTCCCGCTCCAGCCCCGCCAGCTCCTCCCTGGACGGCTCTGCGCCCCCAGCCCTCGCCGACAGGAAGCGGAAGACTCTCCGCAGAGAGCAGGCTTTGAACGTGGCGATCACGCCCTGGATGGATGTCTAGCTGGCTGAGGGCTGGGGCATCCGTGGGCAAGTCCTCCACGGGCACGTCGTCGGAGAGGTCGTCCAGGTTCCCGGGGCGGCGGAGAGCGCCGTCCAGGACGAGCAGCTCTTTGAACGGGGGCGCGTGCCGAGCGCAGTACTTCTCCACTGCGGGGCAGAAGCTCCCGAGCCGCTCCTGGAAGAGGCTCCTGGTGACCCGGGACCCCTGTGCGAGTGCCACAGCGCGGGCAGGTTGGGTTTGGAGAAGCCCCTGAGCGCGCGCGGGTTCTCCGCGAGGAACACCAGCAGCGGCTTCAGCTTGAAGCCTTCGGCGGCGTTGCTGCTGAGCAGCAGGGTCAGGAGATCGCAGGCGCCTGCGAGCCCAGGGTCCGGCTTCTACGCCGCGGAAGGGCCTGTCCTGCCGGGCAGCCGCCTCCAGAACAACCGGGTCTCGTCCCCATGGAACACCTGCCGGGCCGCGTCGCCGCCGTCCGGCATCACTCTGCAGCGGCGCCGGGCACCTGCGCGCGGCCCGTGCCGCGCCTTTAAGAGCGCTAATCAGCCGCGGCTGGCCTCGACGGTCTCGGGCCCAGCCCTGCGCCTTGCGCCTGCTTGAGCTCCGCGAGCAGGCTGCGGGCCTTCTCCTGGCCCCGGGCGCCGCGCGCCTCCTCGGGTCTTCCATCCGCACGCTTAGCAGCCGCTCTGTTTTCCATCACCAGGCTACGGCCTGCGTCTGCCTGGCGGTGGCGCGACGTGGACGCCTGCGAACTCGCTCTGAACTTGTCCTTGTTGCGGATGGTAGCCACGGGGGCAACAGACAGCTCTAGGGTCCTCCAGATCCCGCTGAGCTTCTCTCCGGCTCCAAGAGCCGCAGCACCTCGAACTTCACCTGCAGGTCGTGGCCTTGCGGTCTCACTTGGCACTCCGGCGCTGGCACACGCGCAGCAGCCTCTCCAGGGCGGGCTTCGGGCCCACACCGCTCTCTCCAGCATATTTCTGCTCCTGCCCTGTGCCCGCTGATTTCAGGACCGCTGCCGCCCCTGCCCCGACCTGCTGCAAAACGGGTGGCGGCATTTACGGGTGCTAAGTGCCCACGGGACCAGGGAAAACCGTCAGAGGTCACCGGCTCGTGTCTCGCTCTAGGTGGGGGGATTCCGGGCCATATCTGGCCGGAGTTCACTGCCCACTGGATGGATTCTTGCCCCACGGACCACAGAAACTTCACCAAAATCCCACCGCCACCTGCCCGGGCTCTCAGGACACCAGCCCACCTCACCTACTCGCAGCCTCAGTGAAGCCTCCAGGGTGGCAGGACACACCGCATACTGATGTCAGGAGGACCCTAGAAATTACCAGACGTCAGAGCCTGGCCCAGGGACGGCAGCCACGGCACATGACCCCAGTTCCCCGCTCCGCGGCGGCCAGGCAAAGGAGAGGCCAGCGGCAGCTGCTGTGTCAGGGCCCTGACTTACCAAACGAGCCGTGTCGCTAAGGGTGTCAGAACTCCAGGCTTTTGTTTCTGGGTGTGTTGTGGGTTTTTAAAAATTCATTTATTTTGGGGCCATGCCACGGGGCATGTGGGATCTAAGTTCCCCAACCCGGGGCGGAACCCGAGCTCCCCGCTGTGGAAGAGCGGGGTCCTAGCCCCTGTACCACCAGGGACGTCCTGTGTTTGTTTCTAAGGAGGAAATGCTTGTGCAGGGGGAAACCGCCCAGACGGCGTACTGCAGGCCCTGGCCCCCCATCCTTCCACAGCGCAGTGGGGGGCCCAGCGCTCAGAGGCAGCCCCGCAGTCAGGAGGGGTGATGGAAGCCTGACCGGGGAGCCCCCCGGTGGGTCTCAGAGTTGCCAGCAGGACGCCAGCTGAGCCAGACTCGGGCAGGTCTGGGAAGGCTGCTGCAGATGCTCCCAGGCCCGGTGATGTCTCAGGAACACCCAGCAATGGCAGTCAGGGGTGGGGAGGGCCAGGGTGGGGTCCCCTCTCCCCCCTCACCCAGTCAAGCTCCTGGGCTGGTCTGCTCTCCTTCCTGCATGTGAGCAGGTTCCTCTCATCATGGGGCACTCCCTGGGTTACCCACCATGATCACAAACACACAGGAGCCCCTGACATAGAGAGATGTTCTGGTCCCATCCAGAGGACAGGCAGGCCCAGAGGGCAGAAGAGCCCAAGACGGCAGAGCCAAGATAATGGTGTGTGTCCCAGAATGAGAGGCGAACAGCGGCCCACACGCCCCGTCGGCCTGGGCAGACGACTCCAACAGAGCTGGGGCTGCCTGCGCCATTGGAGGGGAGCCTGGCACGAATGAAGTGACAGCAGTGGGCTACAGAGTGTGGATGGGGCTTTCTTTTGAAACATCTATGTGGCCCACATTCACGCACACATCCACGTGTGCACTGCCCATGTGTACATGAGGGATAAAGGACACACAGTGGGCGACAGTGACCGTCTCCAGGGAGGCAGACTGGGTGTGAGGCATAAACTTTATACACTTCTGCTGAGGTCTGAATTTTCATAGAATGCACCTCCATTTTACATTTTTCTTTAAAATCAGAAGACATAAATAATGACCACTGTATTTCTATCTTTGTCCAACAGAAACTGCTAAACTATAGTAAGTCCCCTACATAAGAACAAGTTCTATTCCAAGAGCACAGCTGTAGGTCTAACAAAGTTAGCCTAGGGACCTAACAAACACAACTGGCTACATAGTACTGCAACAGTACTGCATTTAGTATGGCTACATAGTACTATAATAGTACTGTATATAGTACTGGCTACACAGTACTGCATAGCACTGTATACAGTACTGGTTACATAATACTATAATAGTACTGTATGTAGTATTGACTACAGAGTACTATAATAGGTTTATACTTTTCACATAAATAATACATAAGAAATAAACACACACAAAATAAAGAAAGCATCTTTAATCTTACAGTATAATACCTTAGAAAGTACAGGAGTACAGCACAACACCTGATTAGAGGGACTGGCATGGAGTGAATAGGCAAGAAGTTACTGGTGGAGCAGGACGAGGAGGGGGAGCTGGCAGAGAGAAGGACCGTCAGCAACAGGAGACGGCGGGAGGGCTGTGATGTCACTCAGGCCTGACGTCAAGGCACAGGTTCTGGCTCCTTGCTGGATTCAATTCCATCTCCCTCTTTAAAAGCCGATCCAGGGATGTCTGGGCAGTGGCTCTTTTTTTCTCATCGTAGATGACACGGTAGCACTGGATTGCGTCCTGAACAGCTGCCTCAACCTTCGTGTACCGTTCTACATTCGGGTCCTGGGCCTCGAAAATGAACAGTGCCTCCTCAAACAGAGAGAACCCCCTGGCCATGTCCTGCATCGTGAATCTCTTCAGCTCTTCACTTCGTTCTTCCTCCTCCTGTCTCTCTTCGTCCTTTCTCTGGGCCTCCAGTTCCATCAGGTCTTCATTAGTGAGCTCCTCGTGTTGCACAGCAAGGAGTTCAATGAAGTCATCCTCCTGCAGATCCAGCTCCAGCTTCTCACTGAGGGTCACTAAGTTGCTGAAGACCTCTCTGGACTCCTCATCCACCTTCTCCAATTCACGAAAATCATGAACAAACTGCGGGCAAAGGTTCTTCCATACGCCATTCATGGTGCCGGCTGTAACCTCACGCCAAGCAAAGTCAATGTTTTTTATGGCCTTGTAGATGTTATAGTCCTTCCAAAATTGTCGCAAGGTTGTTCCTGACTCATCACTCGCCTTCACTGCCTGACGAAAAGTGTGACGTAAATAATATTTCTTGAAAGTCGATATAACTCCCTGGTCCATGGGTTGGATAAGGGGCGTAGTATCCGGTGGAAGACGCACTACTTTGATGTTGGGATGAAAATCGTCCATGAACGGGGGGTGGCCTGGAGCACTGTCAAGCAACAAAAGAATGTTAAACAGGATGTCCTTCTCCAAGCAGTATATCTCTACCTCCGGGATAAAGTGGTGGAAAAACCAATCCTGGAAAATGGCCTGTGTAACCCAAGCTTTGGGGTTACTCTTCCACACAACAGGAAGAGAGCCCTTGGCTATATTTCTAAGGGCTTTTGGGCTCTCTGAATGGTAAACCAAGAGAGGCTTCAGCTTCATATCGCCAGAAGCGTTGCCACCAAACAGCAGAGTCAACCTGTCCTTTGCTGCTTTATAACCTGGCATCAACTTTTCCTCCTTACTGATATAACTTCGGTCTGGCATCCTCTTCCAGTACAGTCCTGTCTCATCCACATTAAAAACCTGCTCTGGTAAATACGCCCCTTCATCAATAATTTCTCGAAGGATGTCAGGAAATTCCCGGGCAGCAGCCATATCTGCACTCATTGCCTCGTCACTTACTTTTACGTTGTGAAGATTGGCTCTGGCCTTGAACCGATAAAACCAGCCACAGCTGGCATTAAAAGACGGGCCATCTGATTCTTCACCATATTTCTTCTTCAGGTCTTCATACAGGCTTTTAGCTTTCTCTTGAATCAGCATTATGTTGAGTGGGGCTCGACGCTGATGCTGGTCCTGCAACCACACGCTGAGAAGTTTCTCCATCTCCTCCATCGCTTTCCCACGCCGCTTGGATATGATCGTCGACATCATCGACACAGCAGACTTCACATGTTCCAGGATCTTGTCCTTGTTCTTGATGATCGTGCCGATAGTTGAACGGTTCAAGTTAAACGAACGAGCAACGTCTGTCATCTTTTCACCTCGCTCCACTCTCTCAATTATCTTCACTTTCGTTTCCATCGTTATTGCGTGGCGCTTCTTAGCAGTACCAGCTACGTCACTGCTGCTCTTACGCTTGCTTCCAGACATCCTGGGCTTGAAATAAAGATACTGTACTACTGTACTGTGAAGTACACAAATGCACAACCCTATGTAGAGATTGCATGCATGTGACAATGTACCCCAGACATGTGAATTAACTTACGTGACTGGACATGCAAACACACGTTCACATCTTTAAAAGTTTGCAACTGGCAAATTCATATACAAGGGACTTACTGAACTCTGTATATGATGGTGTGAGCCTGGACCACGGTGCCAGGCAGTGCCCAGCCCAAGGGTGAGGGACCGAGGATGGGGGGCAAGGGGGTGCTGGGCACAACTGCTTACAGTGACCTTCCCAGGGCTGGGGTATAGAAGGGTGGGGGGCAGAGTTCAGCAGGATATGGCATCTCTGACTGTGGAGGACTCACAGCTCACCTGAGCTCCATCCGAGAAGGGTTTGGCCAGCTCTGCAAGGTCTCCAGGCTGTTGGTCCTCAGGAGGGGCCTGGACCAGGGCTGAGGGAGAAGGGGAGCATTAGTGTCTGCAGCCCCGCCCCACAGACACAGGGGTTGGACACCCAGAGGTCAACGTGCGGCTAGACAATGGCCAGGGACTCGGAGTTGGATGAGACCTCACCTGCCCTCGGACTCACACAGAAGGCAGCAGCCCCTTCTGACCCACATACACGCGACCTCAAGAGCACACCCAAGGCCTCTGAAACCCAAGTCACTGAAACGCCAAGGAAGCATCTGACGACTGTTTCATTGGGCTGCAGCTGGGTAGTGGATAAAAAGCTGTGTCAGCAGGCCTGAGCTGTCCAAGCCCTGCCCGCTCCCAGCAAAAGTCTGGCCCTTTATCTGCTCCCAGTAGGGGACCTCAAAGCCCTTGGAAGATTCTGCCTGGTAACAAAAGGCAAGCCCCCCAGGGGACAGCACCCTGGGCTTGCTGGGGCACATCACTGCCAGGGTTACTAAGCACAACCCACACAGCTTCCGCAGGACAGGACTCTGGAATCTCATGCCTGGTGTCTCTCAGAATGGGCACCTTTTCCCATCGCTGACTTTAATCTGCATCCTTTCACTGTAATAAATGACAACTATGACTATAACAGTCTTGTCGATTCCTGCAGCTCCTCGCAAATCACTAAGCCTAAGGGCGGTCTTGGGGACCCTGAATGAAAACATCTGTCTGCACAAAGTATACATAAGTTCACATGAGCATTAATCCTAACACCCAAAAGGTACCAAAAATCCAAACATCCATTAACAGTTAAAACAAATAAACAGAATGTGCTATAACCATACAATTGGATATGACAAGGCATAAAAACCAGTGAGATACTGACATACTACACCATGAACGCTGAAAACATTACACTCAGTGAAAGAAGCCCATCCTCAAAGCCACATACTGTATGACTCCATTTACTAAGACATCCAGAGTAAGAAAGTACACAGAGACACCAAGCAGGTTAGCGTCTGCCAAGGCATTGGGAGAGGGCAGAAAGGGGCTGGGCACGGAGTTCATTTGAAGGTGATTTCATTACGGTGTTAGACACGGGTGGTGGTTGTATCACCTTGTGAATATACTAAAATCCATGAACTGTACGATTTTTTGATGTGTGTGTTACCGCTTACTAAAGATGAGTTTTTGTCTGTTTGTTGAAGTGCTATGGTTTCCACCCCTTGATACAAGGGGCCAAGCAGGCAAAGGAGCTGCACAGACACTGTGCGTGAACAAGCACACAGAGGCCACAGGGGACTGACAGCTATCACCAGCCACCTCTCCGGCCTGCTGCATGGCTGTGTGAGTGCACACCCAGACCAAGGTGAAGACATCATACAGCACGAACTACAAAGCCACCCTTGGCTGGGCTTTCTCCACTCCCTCCAGAGAAAGGAGGACACTCTACTTGTGACTGTAGAGTCACAACTCAAACCAGACTGGGCTCCATCAGGCCAAAGACCTTGCTCTCTCCCTTCCCCGCTGGACCCACAGGGCTGGCACATGCCATGCACTCAGTGAATTCGCCAGGAAGAAAAAGAGAAAGAAGGCCAAGAGCACCCTCAGAAGGGGAAATGTCATGCCAACCTCAGGCTCGCACCTCTGGGAGGCTCACAGGCTAGGAAAGTCTCCAAACAGGTCATGGCTTCTGAGTCTTCTTCCCAATGATGAGGACACAGAGGACCGGGGCACACCGAGCAGGCACTCAGGACCAAGGTTCATGGGCTGGGTCCCCCTGCACATTCCCCTGCCCCAAGCCCACTCCCTGGGGCTCACCAGTCTCCTGAAACATCTGGGCGAGGTCCTCCACGAGCGCCACAGCCTCCTCGCCACTCTCAGGGCACTGGGACTCCACCCAGACCCGGGTGTCGGGGGGCAGAACGCCCAGGAACTGCTCCAGCACCAGCAGCTCCAGCATCTGCTCCTTGGAGTGCACCTCAGGCCGCAGCCACAGGCGGCAGAGCTCCCGGAGCTGGGCCAGCGCCTCGCGGGGCCCCGCGGCCTCTTCATAGCGGAAGCTGCGGAAGCACAGCCGGGGGTCCCAACCGAGAGCAGGCAGTGGGGTGTGGGGCTGAGGCTTGGAGAACGGTTCCGGATCCCAGGGGATGTCCTCGTCCTCCTCCACCTTGATGATCACGAGCTCCTCCTGACCGAAGGGTGCCGGGTCAGCTGCCATGGTGAGGCGTGGGGAAGCTGGCCTCCCCGTCTTCACTCAGCCACACGCACCGTCTTCCTGGTACACAGGCACACCCAATCAGGGCTGTGGACCACCCACACCCCTCCACCCACTTACACCCTGCAAGGCCACTTGCCATGAGGGAGCGCGTCCCCAAACCCGGCCACCTGGGCAGCTGGCAGAGGACACCTCGAACTGGGAACCTGGTTAGTACAGTAAGGGAGAGGGTCCTGGAGGGAAGCCTTCAGAAGTTCAGGCCAGACTGGGCCAAGGAGATGGGCTGCTCCTGGGGAGGGAGCATGGACATGTCCAGTGTCTCAGTGACAGAAAAGCCGGTCAGCAGCCAAGCAGAGGTGTCAGCGTGAACTAGCGGAGCCCCAGTGACCAGGGAGGGTCCCAGCCCAGGGACCAAGTGCCCAAGTGCAGGATGCAGTCTTCGGGGCACTGGAAGGAGTGACAGAAGGGAGAAGTCCACGATGGCAGCTGGGGACAGGGAGAGCAGCCACACAGGCAGAGCAAGAGCGGGAGCCTACCCTGAGGGCCTTCCTTCACGTTAGGCCCCTTTGGGGCCCGGTCCTGTTTAATGGTAAAATTTCCAAACAGCAAACAGGAGCTACTGCTATAAATGTTCACCAAAAGATCCTGAAAACCAGCAACCCCTCAGCTGGCACCTCTGGGGAAAGGAACTGAAGAAAGACGTCTGCTTTTCCTTTTGTAACGTCTGCAAAGCATCTGAATTTCCTTCTTTCCACCGGTCATTTGCTACCACTGTAACTTAAGAACACAGATCATTTTCCGTGCCAATGAATGGCTTTAACAGGGTTTGTCAGGGCTCGCCTGAACCAGGCCGCTCAGTCCAACAGCGCCCAAACACCCGGGTTCTGACCCCCGAGTACCCTGCCCCGACCCGCCTGCACTCTCACCTCAGGGGGACACGCGCGCAGGTGCAGCGGGAGCAGGGTGGTGGCCTGAGCTGCAGAAATCAAGGAAGACTTCTCAGGGGAGGTGCGTTTAGGGGCAGCTGGGCGGAAAAGCTGACCGAGTGTGTCCACAGAACTGGGAGCCGCCGGCCGGAGGCCCAGAAACTCCGCCAAGGAAGCGACCAACGCGGATGCACAAGAACTGACTCTGAGGCGAGAGCCCAGATCCTCGCGGATCACTTCCGGGCTGCAACTTGCTTCCGGGACAGGCCCAGTCCCGCCGGACTCCATGTCCCAGCAGCCCCTGCGCCGCCGATTCGAGGATATCGCTGAGTGCCTCAGGAAGCCGGTGGTGATCCTCTGCCCTCTTGTCCCGCGCCCTCTGGCCAGCTGTACACCCTGCCCCGGGCTTTTCCCCACGCGCCTGCTGTCTCCCGCGGACTCACTGCTTTCAGGAGCTACGCCGGCTGGCGTGGAACAACGCCGCCGTGCAGAAACGACGACCAAACACCCTTCCCAGTACCAGGAGTTTTCTGGCTGCCCCACAGACTATTTCCGGAGCCTTGTTCCCACTCTGCCCCTTGCCCCCTCTCCCGAGTCCCTAGCCACCTCCCCACGACCCTGCACGCTAGCCAGCGGAGGTGAATGGGGGTAACCCAACGCTTCTGCAGCTCTATGACAATCTCCCGCGCCGGGAAGTGGAATTGGCGCGAGCCCCGCTCCGCCTCTGAGGCCCGCTGGGAAATGTAGTCCTTGGTTTGTCACAAGACCCTCCCAGCCCAGCTGCCGATACAACATTCCCCAGGGGGCAACTGGGTGATGGAGTTCCTCAGCGCCCTGAGACCGGTGCTCCACTGCGCTTTGGCTGAGGTCCGGTCCTGTCCCTAGTTCTGAGGAAGGGAGCGGATGGGTCCATGCGCGAGCGGCCTCTCCGCCATGGCCTGCCTCTCGACCTCACCTGCGTCTCTACCCCTCCCTCCGTTCAGTTTAGTTCAGTCGCTCAGTAGTGTCCGACTCTGCGACCCCATGAATCGCAGCACGCCAGGCCTCCCTGTCCATCACCAACTCCCGGAGTTTACTCAATCTCATGCCCATCAAGTCGGTGATGCCTTCCAGCCATTTCCTCCTCTGTCGTCCCCTTCTCCTCCTGCCCCCAATCCCTCCCAGCATCAGGGTCTTTTCCAATGAGTCAGCTCTTCACATGAGGTGGCCAAAGTACTGGAGTTTCAGCTTCAGCATCAGTCCTTCCAATGAACACCCAGGACTGATCTCTAAAGGAGATGGACTGGTTGGATCTCCTTGCAGTCCAAGGGTCTCTCAAGAGTCTGCTCCAACACCACAGTTCAAAGGCATCAATTTTTCAGCGCTCAGCTTTCTTCACAGTCCAACTCTCACATCCATTACATGACCACTGGAAAAACCATAGACTTGACCAGACGGACCTTTGTTGGCAAAGTAATGTCTCTGCTTTTTAATATGCTATCTAGGTTGGTCATAACTTTCCTTCCAAGGAGTAAGCGTCTTTTAATTTCATGGCTGCAATCACCATCTGNAACGTTAAATTAAAACACTTTGGATGAGATTAAAGTTCACTTTGACACACAGTGCCCCCTTCCCACTGAAGAAGTAAGAGTTGTTGCAGGAAGGTGTATGCTCTCCCCAGTCTGTTTTCTACGCATTAACATGCTCGCTATGTATGTATGTCCTCATAGAAAATATAAAGAATGTGTGTTCAAATGTATCACAGGCATTCTCTTTGGCACACTATTCTACAACTTATTTTTCCATTTGATGTGGTCTTTCAGGTTGGAAGGACTGAACTCAGAGCCATCTATCTCTTTGGTTTCACAGCCCAGAAGGCATGAAGGAGGCTGAAACTCAGTCCATCTCGGCTGACTTAGCGCAAAGGGAGGCCTGCCTTTCTTTGATTGGTCTACCTAAAGGGGACTATCTTTTTCTAATTCATTCAAAGATGTGGTGTGTCTGCTATATTTAAAATGGATAACCAACAAGGACCTACTGTATAGCGCCTGGAAGTCTTCTCAGTGTTATGTGGCAGCCTGGATGGGAGGGGAGTTTGGGGGAGAAGGGATCCATGTATATATGATGGCTGAGTCCCTTCACTGTCCACCTGAAACTATCGCAACATTATTAATCAGCTGTATCCCAATACAAAATAAAAAAACAAAGATATGCTGTGTGATGTGGTGGCCCTGAATGGATCCTCTATGCTCTATTTAATTGCTTTGTAGTATTCCCTAATGTAGATATATTCCTTCTTTATTCTTTTTTATTAAAGGATAGTTGCTTTATAGAATTTTGTTGTTTTCTGTCAAACCTCAACATAAATCAGCCATAGGTATACATAAATCCCCTCCCTTTTGAACCTCCCTCCCATCTCCCGCCCCATCCCACCCTTCTAAGTTGATACAGAGCCCCTGTTTGAGTTTCCTGAGCCTACAGCAAATTCCCATCAGCTCTCTATTTTACATATGGTAATGTAAGTTTCCATGTTATTCTTTCCATACACCTCACCCTCTCCTCTCCTTTCCCTATGTCCATAAGTCTATTCTCTATGTCTGTTTCTCCACTGCTGCCCTGTAAATAAATTCTTCAGCACCATTTTTCTAGGTTCCATATATATGCATTAGAATATGATATTTATCTCTTTCTGACTCACTAATTGCTGAAGCCTGGCTTGGAGAATTTTGAGCATTACTTTACTAGCGTGTGAGATGAGTGTAATTGTGCGGTAGTTTGAGCATTCTTTCGGATTGCCTTTCTTAGGGATTGGAATGGAGGGAGCATCTCCTCCCACTGGGTCACCTGTCTCCTCCAGCCGCTGGGCCACACTCCGGCTCCACCGGGGCTGCTCCTGCCTCCCCGTCCGCAGGCATTTACCAGCCATACCATGCTGGGCTGCCTCAACAGGTCCCTGTCTGATGCCTGGCATTTTGAAATGACTGGCTTCCAAAAGCTGGGCACCACCTCACAGAGTCTTCCCTATCCATCCTCTCCTCTGGCCCCCGCTAGATTTGGGTCCCTCACCAGTGGCCCGTCATAGCCATTGTCACACAGAATGTAACCGCCTCTGGACTGGCAGCTCTGAAACTGGTCTCTCCCACCCTGGTCTCCCCACATCCAGCATGTTACGAGTGCCCATAATTTGTGTAATTTATTAATCTAGTCACAAGTCTCCTCAGCAAAGTGCCTTCTCTTCTTGCCATCCCTTTTGCTGCTCTAGCCAGGAAAGCAGGCCAGAGGCCACATCTGACCTTTCTCCCTGGAAGGCTGGACCCCCGCCATGGCTCAGGCTGCTTTTATGTGTTGACAGCGTGCCCACAACTACAAGTGCTAGCTGGGTGACAGGAATGCTCTCTCCCAACTTTACTCTTGGTGTGTCAGTGTGTGCATGTGGGTGTGTACGTGTAGGTGCATGTGGGCACGCACATGCACCCACAGAGGCACATGCAGGTACCTGTGTTGAAAGGAGTCAAGGCCAGACAGCCCTGTCTCACCACCTGGGGCTCATCTAGCTGGGGTACAAGAACGCCTTCCCTTGCAGACTTTGTGTTGACAGTCCACATGGTATGTCTGCAAACTCAGGCGGATACCCCAGTGTGCTTCGGACATCACTTTGCTGATAAAGGTCCATATGTCCATCTAGTCAAAGCTATCATCCTTTCAGTAGTCATGTACGGATGTGAGAGTTGGACCATAAAGAAGGCTGAGCGCCCAAGAATTGACGTTTTCAAATTGTGGTGCTGGAGCAGACTCTTGAGAGTCCCTGGGACTGCAAGATCAAACCAGTCAATCCTAAAGGAAATCAACCCTGAATATTCATTGGAAGGACTGATGCTGAAGCCGAAGCTCCAATACTTTGGCTATCTGATGCAAAGAGCCAACTCACTTGAAAAAGACTCTGATGCTGGGAAAGACTGAAGGCAGGAGGAGAAGGGGGGTGACAGGATGAGATAGTTGGATGGCATCACTGACTCAATGAACATGACTTTGAGCGGACTCTGGGAGATAAAGGCATGGCAACCCACTCCAGTATTCTTGCCTGGAGAAACCCATGGACAGAGGAGTCTGGTGGGCTATAATCCATAGGATGGCAAAGAGTCAGATATGACTGAAGTGACTTAGCACGCGAAGCACCAGGAGATGACGGACATAGAAGACTGGCGTGCTGCAGCCCATGGGGTCGCAAAGAGTCAGACACAACAGACTGAACAACAACAAGGGGACAGAAGAATGAGCTGAATGTTGAGGCCATTGACACCTCAGGAATTACTGAGATTTTTCAAAGAGCTCTAGATCTGGGAGACCATCAAAGTGACAAAAGGTTCAGCCTCAGAAGCTAGAGAGAAGCCAAGATAACCACGGCACAGAAACCCAGGGAAGAAAACATCTCCAAAGCAAGGAATGGTGCCTGGTATCAAAAGCCACACATGTTCATGGGCTCTGACACAGTGGAGGCTCACACAACACAAGTCATGGAAGCCCAAAGGGGTGAGGATGGCATGGAAGGTGAGCCAGGAGAGTAGGAAACCCCCATCCAGAACTGGTGGGACATCACAATGGGGCACGGACAGTCAGGGCTGGCAAACAGGAAAGGCTCATCTCAACCATAGCCCCTCACCACAAGGAAGGCTGCTCTGATGGCCTCTGCTTGGCAACTGCTGTTCTACAAGGTGTGTCTCTGACATGGATGGGCACTCCTGGGTCCCACAGCTCATCTGCAAATCAGAAAACACCGCCCTCAAGCCTGGCGCTCTGTGTGCCACTGTACAAAGTTGGCCGTGCATTAGATGTGAAAACCATGAGTGAGATGTGGCAGGGTCTACCCTCCAGAAATAAAACTCATCAGACAAAGCGTATTTGCAATCAGGCCCAAGCCTCAAATCACACAGGTCATTTAAAGAGGTCTGTCCTTCAGAGTCTGTACCCGTGGCCACTCACCCACCCTCTGTGGGCCCCACCTGGGCTGAGTGCAGATTTTCTGACATCTCTTTTGTTGCCACCGTCATGGGGCCTCTGGAGGCCCAGGAGCAGCCTGAGCCTGTAGCCTCCTTTCCCGGAGCAGCTCCCAGAGGTGGGCAAGGGCATAGTAGACAGCCCGGGACACCCGCAGGCTGCGTTCCCAGTTAGGATTGTTCTCTGAGAGGACTCGCAGGCCAGCGGCAAAGTGGGACAGGGCCCGGGCCAGATGCTCGGGGCACAGTGCACCCACACCTGTGCCCTCGGCCTCCGTACCCCCTGTGGCCTCCGACTCCGGTCTTCTAGAGGCCAGGCCCTGACTAGCCTGGCAGGGCAGCCCAGGGCCACGGACGTGCCCACTGTCCATACCCAAGGGGATGGGTGTGGGCTCCCCGGGGGCCTGCAGCAGGTGGCTAACAACGTTGGCCTCAGCCTCATCACCCAGGCCTGTGCGGCTGGCTAGTGCCTCGATGCTGCGGGGTAGCTGGGGTACAGCGCTGGGCTTGGGAGCACCAGTCAGCACACACTCGGGCCAGAGCTTTCTCCAGGCACTGTTCATGGTGGCAGGCTGCAGCTCCACCCAGGCCTCAGCAATGTTGTCCACAGCGGTCACGATGGTGTAGCTGCGCCAGAACTCCCACACAGAGGGTTGGTCTGCACCACCCGTCTCCTGGGCCAGCTGGCTGAGTGTGCGGCGAAGATACTGGGACTTGAAGGTGGTGATGACACCCTGGTTCATGGGCTGGATCAGGGTGGACGTGTTCTTGGGCAGGAACTCAACTCGCACATGGGCCGAGAGGCCACCCAAGTGGACAGGGTGGCAGGGCGCGCTGTCCAGCAGCAGCAGGGCACGGTGCGGGAGGCCGTGGCTGGCACAGTAGCTTTCCACAGCGGGGCAGAAGCAGCTAGTAAACCACTCCTGGAAGATGACAGGCGTCAACCAGTCATTGCGGTTGGAGCGCCAGACCACAGGCAGGTTGGCCTTGGAGCAGCCCCTGAGGGCACGTGGGTTCTCCGAGGGGTACACCAGCAGGGGCTTCAGCTTGAAGTCACCAGCTGCATTGCCACCGAGCAGCAGCGTCAGGTGGTCCTTAGAGGCCTTGGGCCGGGGCCCAGCTGTCCCCTCCTGTGCCAGAAGCATGCGCTCAGGCAGCCGCTTCCAGAACAGGCCTGTCTCGTCCACGTTGAAGACCTGTCGCGGTGAGTAGCAGCCCTCCTCCAGGATGGCGCGCAACACCGCCGGGTAGCACGCAGCAGCCTGGGCGTCGGCCACGGCGGGCTCGTCCGTCAGCAGCACATTGTGGCGCACCTTGAACCGGGCAAACCAGCCGTTGCTGGCCCCAAAGGTCTCGGCCTGGCCGCCACTGCCCTGCTCCTGCTGCAGCTGAGCAAAGAGCCGGCACGCCTGATCCTGGATGAGCACCGTGCTGACTGGCAGGTTCTTCCGCTTCTGCTCCTCCATCCACAGGCTCAGCAGGCGCTCCATGCGCCCCATCAGTGCGCCCCGGCAGCGCGTGAGCTGCGTGGTGCAGATGGGCGTGGCTGCTTGAGAACTGGCCCGGATCCTGTCCTTGATGACACGGATGGAGGCGACCGTGGAGGTGGCCAGCCCCAGGGCGCGGGCAATCTGCGTCAGTTTCTGCCCCTCCTCAAAGCGCCGAAGTACCTCCAGCTTCACGTGCAGGGTGATGGACTTCCGGTCCCGCTTGGCACTGTGGCGGAAGCCAAGCCCGAGGGGCGCCTTTCCCAAGCCCTGCGGCTGGGGGGGCTTCAGGCTGCCTCCCCGAGCCATGCACTTCAACACGCTCTCTTCCCTCTGCCCGTCAGCGGTACCCAGCGCCGTGCCACAGTGGCCCCTGGGCCTCTCCTGCCACGCCATCTCTGCCTGAAGAGGGGAACACACAGGAGTTACTGTGAGTCTGAGAGAGCCGAAACCACCGCCTGGCCCTTCCGTGCTCTGACCTAGAGCCCACAGCCCTGCAGACCACTGCCTCGGAGGCAGGTCCAGTCCCTTCTCTCCCTAATGCGAAGCAAACTGCATACACACTTCTGAGCATCCTTTGCAACCAGAGGAGCATTTCACTTAGTTTTCGTTTATGAGATCAAAAAGAGGTCTGCAGGAGGGCAGCAAAGGCTACACAGACATAAAGAACAGACTTTTGGACACAGTGGAGGAAGGAAAGAGTGGGATGATTTAAGAGACTAGCACTAAAGTATATATATTACCATATTTAAAATGGATAGCCACTGGGAGTTTGATGTAGACACAAGGAACCCAAAGCCGGTGCTTGGTGACAACCTAGAGGGATGTGATGGGGCGGCATTCAAGAAGGAGGGGACATATGTATACCTATGACCAATTCATGTTGATGTTTGGCAAAAGCCATCACAATATTGTAATTATCCTCTAATTAAAAAATAAATGAAGAGGCTGAACACGCCAAAAAAACAAAAACATCTGCCAGGAGACTTTGCTCTTCCCCCAGCAAAACTCTTGAAACCATAAGGGAATGCGAAGTAAGTCTAGAAATCCTGATCCACCTCCCAGACACTGATGAGCAGGAGCATCTCCATGCTTCTCACTCAGTGTGAGAGACTGAATAATGCCTCTTAAAAAACACATCCACATTCTAATCCCAGGAAACAATGAGTAAATGACCTTTCAAGGCAAAAGGGACAGGTGTGATTAAAATAATAATCTTGAGTCCTGGGTCATCCAAGTGGGCCCTACACGTAATCAGGGATCCGTGTTAAGAGGACACAAAAAATTTCACTCACTCAGAAGACAATGTGAGAAAGAAAAGAAAAGGCAATGTGACCACTGAAACCTAGAGCTTCAGAAGGAACCAGCCCTGCCAATACCCTGTTAGCCCAGGAGACCCATTGCAGATTTTGGAGCTCCAAACTTAAGATAATAAACTTGTGTTGTTTGAAATCACTAAGTCTGTAGTAATATGGTACAGCCATGACAGGAAACTAACACAGAAGGGAACTTCCTTAAATCACACCACCACTGTGGAGCACCTAGGGACAGAGAAGGTGGTTCTCCACACAGCAGCCAACTTTTCCACACAAGTCAGGGGGGAATTCCCTGGATGTCCAGTGGTTAAGACTCCACGCTTCCACATCAGGGGCACAGTTTTGATCCCTGGCTGGAGATCTAGGATCCTCACAAGTTGCAAAGTGCTGCCCCCCCCCCCCCAAAAAAAACCAATGGCCCCTCTGCTCAGGGTCCTCCCAGGCCGCCCATCCCGAGTCAAAGCCACAGTAATCACCAGCTTTGTCAAGGGCCTCTAAGCCTCCTTCTCTCCTTTGCTTACTCATCAGGGGCACAGTTTTGATCCCTGGCTGGAGATCTAGGATCCTCACAAGTTGCAAATTGCTGCCCCCCCCCCCCCAAAAAAAACCAATGGCCCCTCTGCTCAGGGTCCTCCCAGGCCGCCCATCCCGAGTCAAAGCCACAGTAATCACCAGCTTTGTCAAGGGCCTCTAAGCCTCCTTCTCTCCTTTGCTTACTCGTGACCACATCCTTAGGGCAGGCTAAGGGCACCCCCAGCCCAGGGCCTTTGCTACTGTGGCTCTTTGGCCCACAGTAGGGCGCCCTTCCCTCTAACAGGCATGGCTTATTCCCTCTTCTGCAGGTCTCTGTTCAAAAGTAACCTGATCAGAGAAGCCCTCCCCACCTTTATCTTGCATCCCTCACACTGCCTCAGGACAGGAGCTGTACCTACAGAGTACTCCGCTGAGTCCCCAGCGGGAGAGCCTGGCACTCTAGAGGTATTCTGTGGTCATGTTCGAACTTACCAAATGAAGTACACTGAAGGGAGGCCAACTTCTCCCTTTGTCCCTTTTGCATTTCAAACCATGCGAAAGTAGCACCTGGTCAAAACAGTAAACGTTTTTTGAAGGAATATGTGTGAAAAACAAGGACAGGTGCCTGACAGGTCTTTGTGTTTGGGGGAGTGTCTGCGGCACCCACGAAGAGTACCTAACCCTAACCCATGGGCTGCACCTGGCGTACAGAAGGGTGGGCATGGGGAAGGCTTCCAGCAAAAAGGCCCCGAATTCCAAACAAGTCAAGTGCCCGTCCCTCTCTCTCCATATCGATGCCTTCGCCTGCTCAACCACAATTTTAAACTCCCCCTCGCCCTCTAGAAAGCCCCAAGCCCGCCGGGGAGGAAGGCACGAGACTACATTTCCCAGAAGGCGGCGGGGCTTCCGACGACTCCCATTGGCCCCTTCCCCGCGCGTCCGTTCCCTTCCCCCCCACGAGAACCGAGTGTATGGGCGCCTCAGCCCCTTCTCCCGGGGCCCCGGCTTCCGCGCGGCCGACCGCCTTCACCTCCGGGCCGCAACATGGGCCAGCTGACTCAACTGGGCCTACGGGGCTGCAGAGCCTCCTCATCTCCGGCCTCATTCGCCGCTTCCCAGCGGCGGCCGAGCCCAGCCTTCATCTTTAGCGACGGAGGCGGAGGTTGCCGGGCGACGACCAGGATTGGAGGGGAATCCAATCCTGCTGCTGTGCCCGGTCGCCCAGGGCCTGACGGGAAGTGTAGTTCTGTGAGGCGCCTGCCCAACGCTGAGTCCAAGCGGGGAAGCTCAAAGCCGTGTCAGTCCAAGGATGGCTTTCTTGCCTATTAATTTCCTTCTGTCTTGTCTGCCGTCTGCTTTCCGTCACTTTCTTGTTTTTTCTTCCTCTTTCATGAAGTTTTTAATAAGCTGTAATTTTCTTATATGCATGCTAGTAACTGGTGAAATGCCAGGCTGGATAAATCACAAGCTGGAATCAAGATTATATCAATAACCTCAGATATGCCAGTGATACCACTGTAATGGCAGAAAGCAAAGAGGAACTAAAGAGCCTCTTGATGAAAGTGAAAGAGGAGAGTGAAAAGGCTGGTTTAAAATTCGACAAAGATTCGTATGGTCAAAGCTATGGTTTTTCCAGTACTCACGTATGGATGTGAAAGTAGGACTATAAAGAAGGCTGAGCGCGGAAGAATTGATACTTTCGAATTCTGGTGTGGGAGAGGACTTGAAATGGAGCAGGATTATGTGGTCCTTGCCGCTGCCACCACCACCACCACCATGACGATGTCCTTGTGCCTGCCTTTTTTTCTGTGGAAAACTTTAGTCAAAGAATAATTTAATCAGAGAAGAGAGAAATGCTGAAACAAAGGAAAGCAAAGGAGACTAAATAATAATAATGTAGTTATTAAGCATAGTCAAGGACCTTTAGTTCTTTCTCAAGGGCTATAAATAATATTCTGAGCCATATCCTGTGAGCTGTCTTATAGATACCAAAACACCAGGTTTAAGGACTACATGATGACCAGACTACACCCACGACATGAGCTGCCACAGTTCCAAGAACTGGCTGCAAAGAAATGGGAATAAATGGACCCTAGAACTTAAGATTAACTATACCTAAAACAACCAAGATCATGTTGGTCAGACCACTGATGACCAATTTGAGGATGACTGCTAGAGATGACTGTGTGATTTCTGCATGTAGCCACCCCCCTCCTCTGTCTATGAAAGCTCTTGCCCCCTGCTTGTTGGGGGCAGGAGTCCGCCTTTGGACAGATGTCCAACACCCTCCCCCCCGACCCCAGTTGCCAGCATCGGATATAAAGCAAACGTTCCTTTCTACCAAGCTGGCCTGTTTATTGGCTTTTGAGCGGTGAGGAGATGGACCCAGCACACATTCTTTCAGTAACAGACTTTTGAGAGTCCCTAGGACTGCAAGGAGATCAAACCAGTCAATTCTAACGGAAATCAACCCTGAATATTAACAGGAAGGATTCATGCTGAAGCTGAAGCTCCAATACTTTGACCACCAGATGCAAAAAGCCAACTCACTGGAAAAGACCCTAAGGCTGGGTAAGATTGAGAGCAGGAGAAAGGAGCGACAGAGGATGAGATGGTTCGATGGCATCACTGACTCAATGGACATGAGTTTGCACAAACTTCAGGAGACCACTTTGGGTCCCCACCAACATCAGCTTCCGAAGTTGATACATACCATTTTCAGTATTTTGAAATTCCAAATCTGCCTCCTCATGGGACTCAACATCTTGTTTAATTTCTTCCCATTCCCCATATGGGTTTGATTTTTTTTTTAATTGTATTTACTTGGGCTGTGCTGGGTCTTCGTTGCTGCACAGGCGTTTCTCTAGTTGCAGAGAGCGGGGCCTACTCTCTAGTTGCAGTGCGTGGGCTTCTCATTGCGGTGACTTCTGTTGTGGAGCATGGACTCCAGGGCTGTGGGCTTCAGTAGTGTTCCTGGGCTCTAGAGCACAGGATCTATAGTTGCGGTGCATGAGCTTAGCTGCTCTGTAGCATACAGGATCTTCCCAGACCAGGGATCGAACCCAGTCTTCTGCACTGGCAGGCAGATTATTTATCACTTATCCAACAGGGAAGCCCCTATACACACACACACACACACACACACACACACACACACATTTTTTTTTTCCTCTAATGAGCTTTGGATTTTTCTTCATTTGGACCTCATGAACTCTTCCTTTAGGGATTTTTTTTCTTTCTTTTTCTGGTTCAGTACCTTTATCACTGTTTTTAGTTTTTTCCTTAAACTTTATTTTTAGCTTTTGCATTGCTGTAGAGACCTTTCCTTACCCCCTCCCTTTTTTGCTTCCTGTTCCCCCATCAGTCACTATGTGAATCTGATAGTTGGACTCTTCCAGGGCACCAAATAACTTTCATTGACTTTACTAGATAAGAGATCGTCAGAGTATGGAATGAAATGATCAGGTTTTTCCCATCTGGATTCCCCTGTTTGTGTTATAATAACATGTATAACCATCTTCACTTAATCCTTCTACCCAGTTCTTCACTGCTGCTTTTTTAAGTTTCCTTGAAATCCTTCAGGTTTTTCCCACTGAGGTACTCCTATGGTAAGATCATAACAGAAATGGTAACCCTGAGAGATAACTCATTCTGCCCATTTGCCCTTTGAAGGGTCTTTTTTGTCTTCCTGCTGATTTGATGCAGAGATGAATGGAACAGCACTGGTCACTAACAATATGCTTGGCTCTGAAATTTCTGACTCTGAGTCAAACCTTTTCAAATCTTGTTGGTATCCTTTCAGGACAGCTACCTCCACTGCAGCAAACTCCTTTGATGCTTTTTCTTTTTCCTTTCCCTTCTCCAGGCTTTCCTGTTTAACCTCACATATCCTCTTTGCCACATTTTCCTTATGATTCTTTCCTCTTTCAAGAAAGTAAACACTAGGCCTATTGTCCACTATCCAGCACCTGCAGCACTCGCAGAATTTATTTGGTTGTGACTCCCAGTAGTCTTCCATGGACTGAACCAGTCGCTCTGATCCAGGCCTGGGTGAGGCTCACATTCCCTATGCGGGATGAGTTGGGGCCCAGCTCACCGAGAGGCACACTGGAGCCTTTGAGCCAGGACCCGGTCTCTTTCTTTCCATCATCCTTCGTACTGCCTTCCTTCCCTGGGTCTGTCTCACTGTTTTCTCTTTCTTCCTATCTGTTCCACATTCGGGGAGAAATGGTTGCCTTCAGACTGTCAAAATTTTAATTTTTGAAACCACTAAAAACAAACGCAGTGAACATGTGTCAAAGAGGTATTTACCTCCGGTGGGAACTAGCAGGATGACACAGGTGGTTCTGGGAAGGTGAGAGAGAAGAAACAACAGAGAAGGTGAAAGAACAAACACTGAAATAATAGCGCAAAGTTGGATTGGTGGTGTCCCACATAGGAGTGGGCAGGCATCTTAGTGTCCTACAGTGTGGTTAAAAAAAAAAAACTTGGGGTACCCTTCTCTACTGGACAGAAAACATTTACAACCTATCAACCGTTTACAAGTTAGCATCCAACGTCACAGTATCTGAACTCTGATCAAAAGAGTTGCTTCGCTTAGGGAATCAGACAACCTGAAGCAGTCTTAACTAGAAACGGTGCTAGGACTCCCAGCCATCTTTTTTCTCTAATTGACAAGTTTTGGGTAAGTTTCCTTAACAAGTGTCCCTCCTGCTCCGTCTGTCTCTCTTCTTGCTGTCACCCTTCTCTGAACCCTTGAAAACTCTCGACCCATTTCACTCTATCTCCAATTTCTGTCCCCGTCTCTCCTCTTGCTTCTGTACTCCTGATCCTCGTCTGTCACTTGAATCTCTTGATCTGCACGTCTCGCTGTAAATCGATTCACCCTTTGTCTCTCCTTTCCTCTCCATCCCGGCCCTGATTTCTCTCCCTCTTGTTAACTGTTCTGACACACGTCTTACCAGCCCTGACTCTCTGATCTAGGTCTCTGAGAGTAGAAAGCCCTCTACGCTGTCTGTCCTGCCTGTCTCTGTCACTATGTGTTCACTTACTTTCACTCTCTCCTCGCTGTCTTGCTCGCTCAGCATCTCTACCCTCACCCCACCTCTCCCATCCTCTCAGACACCAGGCGGTACACGGGGTTGCCCTGGAAACCACCTGCTCAGTCCACCGGTTACCGTGGAGACGCCCGGGGCCCGCCTACCGCCGCTGACAACAAAAGAGCGTCAACGGGCCGCGCACGCGCGCGGAAGGCCAAACCGACCACTCCGCTCGGGCCCGGTCCCGGGGCCCCGGCTCTCTGCGGGAAGAAAATGGGAGGCTCGCTTGCGGTCCCCAGGGCGGAGGAAGGGGTGACCCAGTCTCGGCAGGGAGTTGCTATGGAGACGGGGGCTGAGGGCCTCCTAGCGAGGGCCGTGATTGGTGCAGAGCCCTAACTCCTGGAAGCCCCGTAGAGAATTCAGGGAGACTTGCTGGGGTGCACGCGTTGCCCGGAAGAAGGTGCTGGGCGCATTTCCCCCAGAGAAGCTTGCTCGCGCCGACGGGTGCCGGGACGCCTGAAAGTGAGGCTGGGAGAGCGGGGAGACACGGCTCCAAGAGTGGTCCGACCGTCCGGAAAAACACTGCCCGGCATCACAGCGGGAGGAGGGTGGAAACTGAGGCGAGCGTGGAAACAGGCGAGAGTGGAAACGGAGGCGGGGGCGGGGCGGGGGGGCGAGGCGGCGCGTGTGCTGCTGCGCGGAGCATTCTGGGAGCTATAGTCTGGCCGGGAGGGGAGGTCGGCGAGTGCCCATGCTCGGGATCGCGGCGCTGCCTGCTGAGCGCCGAGGTGAGGGCGGGGCACCCTCGGCCCGGAAGATTCGGGCAGGGACCCGGACGGCAGCCCTGCGGGGCGCGGGGCGCGGGGCAGGGTCCTAGCGCTCCCGGCGGACGGGCCCGGGGTTGTCGCGCGCGGAGCGGTAGTCACCGCGGGTTGCCACGGCGACAGAGCCTAGAGTCCCCGCCCCGTTGCCATGGCGGCACCCGTATCTGCCCCGGCTCCCTGAGGCAAGCGCCGCCCGCGTGGGCTCCTGGTCATTGTAGTTCGGAAAGCTGCGCAGGGCCGGCAGGGTCGCGGAGGCCCAGCCTTCCCCTGGGGTTTCAGGCAGACTTGGAGCCTTAAGGAGACAAGGTCAGACTCACGGGATCGGGCGGCCTCGAAATCAAACGTAATAAACTCCGGTTTCTTTCCAAAACTCGCACCGTAACTTCAGCTGCAAGAGCAGCGCGAGTGGGGCGGGGATCGCCCCCGTTTGCAGACCGGGGAGCGGAGGTTCACAGTGGCACCAGCGACATGGCATGATTACGTGGCAAATAGGCTGGGTCAGGATCTCCGGCTCTCCTCGCAGGCTCCGAGGCCAGCGGTCTGGGGCCCCTGGCACCCCTCTCTGAAACGCCATCACCCGCTAGCCCTACCTGAGTCAGGAGGTCGAGGAGATAATGGGGCTCAGAAAAGGGGGCTGGATAGGGGGAGGATGGCGTCAGAGTGCTGTGCCCTACAGTGGGCCTCGCATAGGTGTGGGCTGGGGCCGCTGGAGGGGGGATGACCTGTGAAACCACGCTGGGGGGCAACAGTCGGAGAAACACGCAGGAGAGTGGATGGCGCAGTGATGGGCCGGCGGGAGCGGGGTGGCGGTGGTGCGGACGCCCAGCGCGGGGGGTCGTAGGCGTAGGTATCTCTCTTGCAGGGAGAGGGCTGAGGGCAGGGCTCAGATCGTGCGTGTAGACCGGTGGGATTTAGCTGGCAGAGGAGGAACCTTCTGGGCCTGAGAACCAGCCCAGGAACAGGGGGTTACCAGAGACTGCACACGCCCAGCTAGAGGGGTTCAGCGAGGACTGGCCGGCCCCATGCGTCAGCCTCCGGCCTGAGCTGCACGCCACTGTCCCCATCGCAGCAGCCTCCGCGTGCTCCTCCCTGGGGGTGGACACTGGCCTCAAGAGCCCCAGCCTGGTCTTTCCGATGAGGCCGGCAGCCTTGGGCTCCCGGGGCCGCGCATCCCTAGAAGATGAGGGGCCCGTCACGGTGAAGCTAGAGGACTCTGAGGGGGAGGGTGAAGCCGTCGCCTGGGATCCGGGCCCAGAGGCGGCACGGCAGCGCTTCCGGCGCTTCCGCTATGAGGAGGTTGCAGGGCCCGGCGAGGCGCTGGCCCGGCTCCGTGAACTCTGCCGCCAGTGGCTGCGGCCCGAGGCGCACTCCAAGGAGCAGATGCTGGAGCTGCTCGTGCTGGAGCAGTTCCTGGGCGCACTACCCACCGAGATCCAGGCCCGCGTGCGAGGACAACAGCCAGGCAGCCCTGAGGAGGCCGCGGCCCTGGTCGAGGGCCTCTGCCGGGAGCCAGGAGGGCCCCGCAGATGGGTGAGTCAGAGGCTTGGGGTCTCTGCCTCATCCTGGGGCGCCCTGCTCAGCAGGACGCTAGCCCCCCCGGGTTCTGCAAGTGGTCACCTGCAGCAGACCCTGTGCCAGGGCAGCCGCGGTTCTGACGCCAGCCCTCCATCAGCTGGAGTCAGGACTCAGGCCGCAGGGTTGGGGGAAAGGCGGGCGGTGTCGGCAGAGGAGAGCAGCTGCAGGGCGTCCCTGCCCTCCTTGTCAGTCCCTGGGGGCCGTGTGTCCTCAGAGGCCGAGTCAGTACCCCTGGGATCCCGAGAGGGTGGAGGCCAGGGAGCTCCCTACCTGAGCTCCTGATGGGGGACACCTGCCCAGGTCACGGTCCAGGTGCAAGGTCAGGAGATGCTCTCGGAGAGGACGGAGCCCCCCAACTTCCAGGCCCTCCCTCAGCCCACACCTGAGACTCCAGAACCTGGGCTGGAGATGCCCCCTGGGGCCATGGAGCAGTCAGCACTGGGCCTGCGGGTGAAAGAGGAGTCCGAGGCTACTGAGGAGCCAGGTAAGAGCAGGAGGTGTGCCCTCTGCTTCGGCAGCCCCGCATCCTGCCCAGCCAGTGGTGGCCATTCTCCCCTGTGGGCCAAGCCTGCCACAGCTGTGGCTCCTTGCACGTTCTCAGCATGGTGCTGGCTCCTGGGATTCCTGTGTGTGGGAGAAAGGAGTCCTCTCCCCGAGGAGGTCTGCGGGCGGGGGTGGAATTAGCCAACTGCTGCAGACCAGACAGCAGACTGGAGCGTGGGGGCGGGGGGCTCCAAGTGCTGGGGGGTGCCCTTCTCTCCTCCACCTCCCGGGCAGGTGCCAGATATGCCCCCACACCGTGTTTCTGTGAGTCCTGAGATCCCCCTGCCACACCAGCCCCAGGTCCCACCCCACCGGATCCTGGCACCTGCCACAGCACTGAGGAGGGCAGCGGGGTGGGGCGCCCTGGAGCTTCCTGACCGCACCCTCCTTCTCTAGAACCGCTGCATCCTCAGCCTCTAAGCAGCCCGCAGGGGACCCCTTTCACTCTGCTCCCCGACCAGGCCCGGGTGAGTCCCTGCTTTGGGAGCCTCAGCGGGTGGGGCTGGGTGGGGGCCGGGTAGGTCTCTCCTGGGTGGGCCTGGCTACCCAGACCAGCAGTGACCACTGTGGTTTCAGGACTGTGGCGTGGTGCTGGACCAGGCTTCCCCCCATAGTGAGCCTGGGCCTGAGGGTTCCTCCTGGAGGCAGCACCGCGGGGCCCTGTGGCAGGAGGAAGCTGGGGGCATCTTCTCCCCAGGTGAGTAACACAGGGCCCCTTTTCTGCAGCGTCACCTGCGCGCCCGCATTGCCTGGGCAGCCCCTGCAGTGTTCAGCCTGCTTCAGCATCTCCGGCCCTCCAAAGCCAAGCCCTCCATTAACCTCCTGGCCCCATAAACCCCCCTGAGAGCAGGACTCACGTTCCCCACCTCCTCTCCCAGCCCTGGCATCCTGGATGGCCCCCAGGTTCCAGGCCTGCGTCCCACCAACTGGACAGCAGGTCAGCAGGGTGGACAGACAGGAGGGACCTACACACAGGTGGGGACTGGGCACGACAGCACAGTGTCCCTCCCAACCGCCCAGGCTCTCAGGCCAGACGCCCTGCGCGGTCCACCTTGGTCACACGCCTGCGATGGCCCACCATCATCCAGGCGCCGTCTCGTCTTCATCCCATTTCCTGGGCCCCTCCCCTTCTGGGTTTCCTCCCATGTTCTGGTGGACCTTCCTGTGAATGGAGCGGGAGGTAAAGTTCTGAGAGGTGTTACATGTTTAAAACACATTTCTCTAACACTCCACATTACACTGGACTTTGGCTGGATGAAGAGTTCTTTTTATTGACTCAGTCTCCAAACATTTTTTTTCTTAACTGCTGTAAAACTGGGTCAAAACATTTTTTTATCACCACTGTTGGTAAGGCTGTTTAACTTTAAATTCAGTTTCTCAATTGTGGGAAGCTGGCTTGAATTGTTTCTTTGAGTTCCTTCCCCTGCATTGTTCTGTTCTCTCGTTTCTAGAATGCCTGTTACTCAGTTATTGGACTCTAGGACAAATGCTCTAGTGTTCTGTTCTCTGCAATTTCCCATCCCTTTCTTTCTGCTCTATCTTCCAGAAAATTTCTTCAGATATCCTCCAGATTCTCCTTTTGAGATTTTCACATCTGCTAGTAGAGTTTCAATTCCCCATCAGTGTCGTCTTTCCCTGAATACTTATTTAAGCCACTTTCTGTTCTTACAGTTGTAACATCTTTCCTTATTTCTCTGAGGATAATAATTTGTTGTTGTTCAGTGGCTAAGTTGTGTCTGACTTTTCTCAACCCCATGGACTGTAGAACGCCAGGCTTTCCTGTCCTTCACTGTCTCCAGGAGTTTGCACAAATTCATGTCCATTCAGTCGGTGATGCCATGCAACCATCTCATCCTCTGTCGCCCCCTTCTCCTCCTGCCTTCAGTCTTTCCCAGCATCAGGGTCTTTTCCAGTGAGTCCGTTCTTCACATCAAGTGGCCAAACTGAAGTCAAACTTCAGTTTCAGCATCAGTCCTTCCAATGAACATTCAGGACTGATTTCATTTAGGATGGACTGGTTGGATCTCCTTGCAGTCCCAGGGACTCTCCAAGAGTCTTCTCCAACACCACAGTTCAAAAGCATCAATTGTTCAGTGCTCAGCCTTCTTTACGTTCCAACTCTCACATCCATACATGACTACTGGAAAAACCATAGCTTTGGCTATATGGACCTTTGTCAGCAAAGTGGTATCTCTGCTTTTTAATACGTTGTCTCAGTTTGTCATAGCTCTCCTTCCAAGGAGCAAGTGTCTGTTAATTTCATGGCTGCAGCCATCATCCACAGTGATTTTAGAGCCCAACAAATGATGACTTGTCTTCAAGCTTCCTCCCAGTGTGCTCTCTGATCTCTCTGGCAGGTAAGAGAGGGCAGCTAGGAGAGAGGAAGAGTTTGCTCCCCACAGAGACCCACTTCTTGGGAGACGTGTGGGTGGGTGGAGCAACCGTGGACGCCACTGAAGGAGTCATAGGGCACCCTGGCTGGGCTGCGTGGAGGCGGCGCCCTTGCCGTGAGGGTCTTCAGTTCTCTCCTCTGAGTGTCCTAAGAAGGCATGTCTAGCCTCTTGCCTGCATCCCGGCTGGGAGACAGGTTGGCATCTCAGTCCCCTGGGTGGCTTCGCTTACCCCCTTGACTTCCTCAATGTTGGCGCTCACCCTCAACCCAGCCTTTTGCCAGGATGAGAGAAGAGATCCAGAAATCAGAGCTACTGCAATGCCTGCCCGCATCCTCCATTTCCTCAGAATTGTGTGCAGAGAGGGCCCAGCGCTGTTCCCTGAGGTAGCCCAGCTTCAGCTTGAGTCAGCTTCCCCTGCCCACCTGGTGTCCTTGCCCCTTTACCTGCATGGCCAGAGGGACTTGGTCCTTCCAAATCCTGAATGTTTCGAGCCTTTGAGATCAAACAGGTTGATTTCTTTCCATTTTTCCCCACTGCTGCACAGTTACTGTTTGCTTGGTCTCCCATCCAGAGTAGAAATATCAGGGGTTGCTTTGTTTCCTTTCCTCTTCATCTTTGTGGATTTTATACCTTGAAGAAAACAAAACCAAAGAAAACCTTTATGGAGGTTTTTAATGCTGTTTCACAATGAAACCAATGTAAATAGATACTGTTATTACCCAGAAGTCCCCATTTGCTGTTTTTATCAATAAAGGGCCCAAACTCATTCTTTCTTCATGGATGTTGACCCATCCTTTGAGAACCTGGACATACCTGATGTTATTTCTGGACTTGTTAGCTAGCTTGGTTTCCTGAGGTGCAAGTGCTCCCACTGGTTGCACTATGAACAGCCTGCCCTTCACGGCTCGGGGAGTTCCTCGTCTGTCCCTGCACTAAGCGTCATCCTGGGTGACAGGCTGCCACAGAGTCCATCGTGACTCTGAACTGGAAGGCTCACCTGGGTCCCCAGCTGTTCAGTGGAGACCCTCTGCAGGCTCACCCACACCAAAGGTCTGTGGGTGGACTGAGCTCACCCAGGCCAAGTCCTCAACCCCCAGCTTCACGGCAGAGCCTGGCCTCAGCCCCCAGTCTCTAGCCTTACCACTTTGGAGCATGGTGCACAAGCTCTGGACGGTCCTTTCTTGTCTTGGAGCTGCCCCAGGTATTTTTAAGGTTCTTCTGTTACGTTCTGTCAGTGCTGCATACTGAAGCTGAGAGGAGGTCTGGCAGCCACGCCTTCCGCTGTCTCAGCCTTCAGCTGGGGGCCCTGCTGGGCAGCTAGCGCCCTGCCTCTCTCAGCACAGCGCAGCCTCCGCTCTCTCCAGCCACACTGGCGGCTCCACCTACAGCTCCTCCGCAGGTCCTTTCTCTGCAGTCCCATCTTTCCTCGGGCTGCACTCACCCACAGACAACTATGGCCCCTGCTTCAAATACGGGGTCCCTCAGCCACTGTGGGCTCCGCACCAGGTGTCCTGGCTGCTCCCCTTGCCCTCCACGGAACATCAGTGCAGCCAGTGTTTTCATCAGGAGAACATTCTGAATAGGTAGCATTCACGTTAGAAAATTCAGAAGGCCCAAGGGCATATACAGTGGAGCGCCCCTCCCCTGCCTGAGTCACACGGTCCTGCACCCCAACAGCCAGCATCACCGGTCTTTTGTATGGACTTACAGAAAGATTCTGTGCGCAGGAAAGCAAACACAAATGTGGTTGCATACTCATCTGCCATCTTTAAAACACACATGGAAGCTTGATCTTCACCCTGTTCCCCGCCTGACATTTTTCATTCATCTTCCCACTTGAACACACAGCAGCGAGCACCCTCCTCTTTGGACAGCTCCCCACGACACACCTGTTTACCCATCCAGGTTCCCACTGACACTCTTTTGAGTTATTTTTCAGTGAGAACTGAGAACCCTCCTATTGAAAGGTTGTTGCTGGATCACGCAAAGACGCCGGGGTTCTTGGCCTCTGGAGGAGAAGAATTCAATCCGGGGCCAGAGACCAGGCTGGGTCACTCAGAGCTTTTGTGTAATAAAATTTTATTAAAGTATAAAGGAGATAGAGAAAGCTTCTGACATGGACATCAGAAGGGGGTAGAAAGAGTACCCCCTTGCTAGTCTTAGCACTGGAATTATATACTCTCAAATTAGTTATTACAGTGAAGCAAAAATGTCTAGAGGTTGTAAAGACCTCACCAGACCTACTCCCATGATTTACATACGGAGATAACAGAATTAGCCAGGTTTTTTCCAGAGACTGTCCTCAAGCAGGATACATTATTGTTATATAATCCTAAGGAATATAGAGGGAAAAAATTTTGTCCTTTCTGACTCCTTGAGAATTCCAGACCACTGTCTCCATGGGGACCCCTAGACTTCTTATCAACCTGCCTAGGAATTGACTCTCTCACTATACCGGTCATTTCACACAGGGAGGAACACAACTGGTGGAGAAGTACTTAGAAGTGGAATCGTTGGATTAGCCTACGGGAAATTTATTGTTTGATGTATTTGACGACACCAACTTCTGTCTGTGCTCACCAGCAATGCACACAGACACTTGGGTTCTGGAGTAAGGATGTGGAACTGCAGATGAGTATGGCCCTAATGTGCAGTTTTCTTATGGGGGGAACTAAGCATGTTTTAGGGAATTTAAGCATCAGTGACATTTCCTTTCCTTTTCCAGTCTTCTGCCCACATTCTTTTCTGCTGACTGATTGCTGCTCTTACTTTGGTTAATTAGACCCTTGCCTCTGGAGGGTTCCTCAGTTTGTCATTCATCTTTTGACTCTTGAGGGTTTTTGCTGAGCACAAATGATTTCCTTTGAGGCAGTATAATTTATCTGCATTTTCCTTGGCAGCTTATAGATTTTCTGTCATCCCTGAAACCCCTGTTCCCCTCTCTGCGTCCCTGATGTAACCCCCTCCTCCTCTGTGCCATGCTTACATCTCCCTCCTCCAGCATCTAAGGATGGAGTGCTCGCAGCCTGGCTGGAACCTGCTCCTTTGAGCCAGACGCCCACCCCTGTCTGACCACAGGCAGGCCCAGGGCTTCGTGTGCCCTGTAAATGCCACGGTACCACGGCCACACTTCCCTACAGGCAGGGCGAGACCCCTGTGCCCCAGTGGCTGCACTAGGTCTCAGCGGCGCCACAGGAGTCCCGCGGGCATCACAGGCACGGCACAGCAGACAGAGGTCCTGGTGCCAGAATTTCCCGCCTGTCCGCTCCACTTCCAGCCTCCCTCAAACCCACCCACTTCTCCGCATCTGTGGGAACCAACATCACCCACCTGCCCAGTGCAAGGGCCACCTTTGCACTACAGCCCTTCCGGAAAGGTGGTTTTGCAAACTTATGCCACACCTGGAAAGCCGGTCCCCTGTTTTTAGTCTTCCACCTGTCTGTCCCATCCTTACCGCCTTCGGAAGCCTGCTCAGACAGAACCCCTGCCCCTGCCCAGGTGACTTCTGTCTGCCTCTTTGGACAGGTTTAGGTCGCTCCATTTCACACCCTTTCGCCAGGGCTGGAGTGTCTCTGGGCACCAGCGGGTTCTCTGTCATGAATGAGTGGATCCCCTTGTGCCATGCAGGGTTTACACTCCAGATCGACAGCGTTTCTGTGGACCCACACATCGTGAGCCCCCACGTCCACCTGCCCTGGGACCTCGGTGTGGCCAGCATCACAGGCCAACTCGAGTCAGCCTCCCACGAAGCTGGCTTTTCACACGCGCTAGTGCTCTCCAGCGACCTGGGAGGTGAGCTGGACCCGACGGAGGATGCCCGCCAGGCCGTGGGCCGCGGACTGGCCGCGGCGAGCTGGCGTGCCCCCAGGGGTCGCAGCCGGGCTCGGGGGCGCCCCGGCACAGGGGCCGGAGCTGAGCGAGGGGGCCGCTGCGATGTGTGCGGGAAGGTGTTCAGCCAGCGCAGCAACCTGCTGCGGCACCAGAAGATCCACACCGGAGAGCGGCCCTTCGTGTGCGGCGAGTGCGGCCGCAGCTTCAGCCGCAGCTCACACCTGCTGCGCCACCAGCTCACGCACACGGAGGAGCGGCCCTTTGTGTGTGCCGACTGCGGCCAGGGCTTCCTCCGCAGCGCGCGCCTGGAGGAGCACCGGCGCGTGCACACGGGCGAGCAGCCATTCCGCTGCGCCGAGTGCGGCCAGAGCTTCCGCCAGCGCTCCAACCTGCTGCAGCACCAGCGCATCCACGGCGACCCGCCGGGCCCCAGCGCCGCACCCCCCGCTCCTCCCGGTGCGCCCGAGCCCCCAGGCCCCTTCCCGTGCAGCGAGTGTCGCCAGAGCTTCACGCGGCGCGCCGTGCTGCTGGAGCACCAGGCAGTGCACACGGGCGACAAGTGCTTCGGCTGCACCGAGTGCGGCGAGCGCTTTGGGCGCCGCGCGGTGCTGCTGCAGCACCGGCGCGTGCACAGTGGCGAGCGGCCCTTCCGGTGCGCCGAGTGCGGCCAGAGCTTCCGCCAGCGCTCCAACCTCACGCAGCACCGGCGCATCCACACGGGCGAGCGGCCCTTCGCCTGCGCCGAGTGCGGCAAGGCCTTCCGCCAGCGGCCCACGCTCACGCAGCACTTGCGCGTGCACACGGGCGAGAAGCCCTTCGCCTGCCCCGAGTGCGGCCAGCGCTTCAGCCAGCGCTTGAAGCTCACGCGCCACCAGCGGACGCACACGGGTGAGAAGCCCTACCGCTGCCGCGAGTGCGGCCTGGGCTTCACACAGGTCTCCCGGCTCACCGAGCACCAGCGCATCCACACGGGCGAGCGGCCCTTCGCCTGCCCCGAGTGCGGCCAGCGCTTCCGGCAGCACGCCAACCTCACGCAGCACCGGCGCATCCACACGGGGGAGCGGCCCTTCGCCTGCCCCGAGTGCGGCAAGGCCTTCCGCCAGCGGCCCACGCTCACACAGCACCTGCGCACCCACCGGCGCGAGAAGCCCTTCGCCTGCCAGGACTGCGGCCGCCGCTTCCACCAGAGCACCAAGCTCATTCAGCACCAGCGCGTGCACAGTGCAGAGTAGCCGGAGCGCGTGGCCCCACCGTCGTCCACCATTGGAGGCAGGGTGTGTGTGGAACACCTACCTCATGGGGTTGCTGAGACCCGTGAACGCGTCGGTACAAGCCAGCTCTCTTAGGGCCTGGCTCCCAGTAGGTGCTCAATAAACAATATACAGAACCTCCGTCTGGGTGTGCACCCACCGTCTGCCCACTCGCCGGGACCCCTCTCAGCCCATGCTACTGGTCTACCACCTTCTCTGTAACCACGTGCCTCCTGCAAGACCCAGGGCTCCCGGCAGATGTGGCCCCTAGCAGGGCCTGCCCCCGTCTGCAGGACGTCCCCTTACAGCGGGGCTCCTGTACTATTTGCCTTCGACCCACCTCTCCGCTGGCCAAGCCAAAGGCCAAGGGAGGACCTGGAGGGCACCGCCCTGCCAGCCAGCCAAGATCATCAGGTGCTAAAGCATCAAACGGGTGCCTGTGAGGCCACCGCCAGCCTGAGTTTATATGTTTATGAAACCAAGGAAGCCATATCTTAGCTGTAAAAGCTGTAAGGTTTTAAGTGGGAATCTAGTCTTAGAAGACTTTCCTCTGTTCCCGCAGACTCCAACCGGTCTGAGAACCAAAGCTGGCGGCAAGGCCAAGCTAGTTCCCCAGCCCTCCAGGTGCCAGCTGTTCTCTTCCCTCCCTGGCCCTAGGCACAAGCCCTAAGTACCCTCCAACTGGAAGGTCTCTGTCATGTGTGTTCAGTAACTACTCACAGGACACACCAGCTGCTGACATGCAGGTGGACAGACACTGGCAGCTCCAGGTCAGAGTCCTGCAGACTTGAGGGCGGGACCTCTGGACCCCTCCTGCCTCTTCCTGTGCCACTGCTGCTTTTGCTCTGTCCTCCCCTTCCATCCTACCACTGGGGCCTTGACACAGCCCCCCACTCCCCCACTGGATGCCGGAAGTACCAGAGACTGTGGGTGAAAGGCAGTTCCAAAAAGGGGATCTTCATGCAGCAGGGTCGGGCTTGGGACTCAAACCTCACCCTAGGCTGGTGTCAGCCTGCTCTTGGTCTAGAGGCCTAGAGGGTTCCAGGAACAGCCCTTCCGCGCAGCTGGAATTTCACCTACCACTTTGAGTCACCCCAGTCCCAAGACTTGGGCCCTGGTATCAGGAAAAGACAAGCAGCCTGAGCCAGAGGCTTCCTACCAACATGCGAGAGAAGGCCCGCTCCCAGCCTCAGCCCCCACTCCTCCCCAACTCTACCCCTCTCCTTCCCCCTCCCCGGTAGCCTAGCCCCAGCCACAACCAGAATCACTCTTGGCATCTACTACATCCGGCAGGTCAGCCACTCCCCCAGGCAGAGGCACTCCTGTGTGGCAAGATCAGGGCTGGGAAGCTGGGGCGGGGGGGGGGGCGCTCCCCTGGGCCCTTTGACAGCACTCAGTTCTCTGGTCACAAAGGGTTCTGAGAAACCTGGTGTGGGATACATAGAATCAGAGGGAAGAGGAAGACAGGAAGGGGCTGAAGAATCAGATCAGGGAAGTCACACGAATGAACACAGGTAGCCAGTAGCTAGTGGTCTCAGGTTGGAGGAATGTTGCTGGAACTTTACAAAATCCTGTCATGTGGATTTTTTTTTTTTTAATAACTTGTGTGACTTATAATCTGAAATAAAGAAAACTCATCTTTGGTCATCTTTGTGTTCATCATGAAATCTGTGCAGATACAACTACATAAAAACATGAAATTCCACACAGGAAAAATTATAACAGACATGAAAAGCATGGAGACATCCGGATGGGACCCCACACCCAAATCCTTGAGAAGTCCATGGACCCACGTCCCAAAACAGCCCTCTGAGAAGTCAACGTGAACAGCTATGTGAGGGCCACTCATGAAAGGTCATTTTTGCAGCTGGCCAGGGACACCTCTGCGATCCAGTCACACAGCTACAGGTCAAGACCCAAGTGTTACCATGCGGATCATCAAGACTGAGGGCTTGGACAGAATGACCACTTGGCCAGAGCCACAGAAGAACCCAGGAGAGGAATACCTACGCACTGGTCATCTAGGAAAGCTACAACAGTGCCCAGCCAGCCTGTCCCCGGACTGTCTGTATCCAAGTCCATGTTGTCCACTTCCAAGCCCAGCTGGCTGCCCCATGCCACATCCATCCAGTTATTCTCATCAGCACCCCAGCCTCCCAAATCTATTCACTTGTCTCCACCAATCAGCACTGCTCTGATTCCAGCCATCCACCTCCAGCCTGGAGGCCCACAGCACTCAGCCTCCCTGCCCTGCCCACTCCTACTCTCTCATTCCCTGGACAGACCCTTTCTTCACAGAGGCAGGGCCCAGAGGCTAGGCTAACAATCGGAGGTGCACCTTCACCCTCACAACCCACCCAACAGGTTCTGCCCGGTCCTCTGCCCAGTCCCTCCAAAGCACTGGCCCCAGCTTCCCTCAGGGTCTTTGCACGTGTTAAGCAACTGTGCTGCCTACTAACAGGCAGCAGGCCCAAGGGCCACAAGCACCTGTACCACCCAAACCACCTGGGCCTCTCTGCCACTCGAGTGAGCACTAAGGTGACAAGCTTAGCTGCACCACCTCCAACCCAGGCGCCTGCCTCACTTAGGCCATCCCCTCTTCCTCGGTCCAGACACTATGGCCCCCTTTGCTTAGCATTTTGTTTCATGATCAAGTCTTCCGCACTGCACAGTGGGGAAACCACAAGATCAAAGATCACACAAGTCTAACTGTGGACTGTTACCTCTCCAGGGGATGAATACTCTTTCCCGAGATGGGACTTTAGCTGAAGGGTCTCAGCAACTGGCCTGAGGATGGATACATGAACCAGGCTGGCCAATAAAAACCATCCCTGAGATTTTGGTTGGAAACTGCAGGATGGTCACCAATCCTCACGTCCTGTACAAAGATAATCACCAAGAGTAGAGCAGATGAGAAGAACAGAGAGAAAGAGGAAAACTAACTTGGGAAGAGTCCTCCGCGTCCCAGGACCAGTCATGCCTGAAGGCTGAGAACACCAAGATGGTTGCAATCTCATCCGCCCCAAACCTGCGGTTTTTTGCAGCTTCCGATCGCTCAGCCTCACCCCAGCATCTCTCCAGCACACAGCTCTCAAGGAAGTCAATGAGGCCGGCAGTGTGGGGTGAGGACAACCAGAGGGTTGAAGGGGGGCTTCTGGAATGGCAGAAACTGAATGCAAGCGGGAGGAAAAGGGAACGGCTTCACAGCCACCACTGGGATCTGAGACCACGGAGCCCAAGGACGCCGAGGGTACCCGGGAGAAGGCTGGGGTCGGCAGGGACACCAAACCACGGCCCGAAAAAGTGGAGGTTACTTTCTGGGATGAGGATCGGCCTGGGGTCGCCAAGAGGAGGCCATGGGCTGAGCCTGCCCACCACTAGCGCGGGCCCAACTGGGCTGCCGGGACTACTCCCACGGTGCTCCAGAAGACGGTGGCACGTCGCCTGAGTGACGGGATGGGGCGTGCGGCAGGAGCCTCATTCGGACGCGGGAAGGCTGAGGGGCAGAGCCCCGGCCGCCCCTCAGGCCCGGCCCCCGCCCCGACCAGCCCTTGAGGCGCCGCTCACCACCAGACGGTGTCTTGGTGACAGCCTGAAGTCTCAGAGCCGCTCCGCGCCGCCTGCCCCAGCCTTCCGACGCACGCTGAGCTACGATTGGAGGGGAGGCTGGCTCCGCCCCCCTCGCGCAAAAAGACGGCGGAAGGCCGGAGGTCGCCCCGGGGGAACTCTAGACCCACGGGGAAACTCTGGACCCGCGCGGAGGGCTGACCCCAAGTGTGTGAGCTCGTGTAAACCTCCAGTGTTATACTACGTTCTGACACAATACATGTTTTATTTGTTACTTTACCTCAACCAGACTCTCTGCGAGCGGGTTCTCTGGGCCTGAGATGGGACACCGAAGGTTCTGGGTCACGCACTCTAGGCCACGCTCCTGGCCTTGCTCAGGCTCTGACCCTAACCCTGCCTCGGCCTGTGGCCCCTGGGGACAAGCCCCTCGTTTGGCCCGCCTGCGCCGCCGTTCGCACGACTGCGAGTGGGCATGGAGGCCTGCATCTGCCCCATTTAAATATGGCGGCGACACCGCCACCCCCCCTCCTCCCTGGACTCGCGGGCGTCCCCGGAAGTGGCCGGCCCGGCCTGCACGAACGGAAATACCCGAGCCAAGCCGAAGGAGCTCGACCCCCAAGCCCCAGCGCGGAGCAACGTGGGGCGGTGGCGGCGGCTGCGCAAGCGCACAGCGCAGGCCGGCCGGGAAGAGCCGAAGCGGGCAGGCGACGGAAATAGCCGAAGCGGTGGGGCGCCCGAGGCCGTTGCGGACCTCCGCGCCGAAGCCGCTGCTGCCACGGAAGCCGGCCCTCCTGTCTAGTACACGGCCACCGCAGCCCCCGCCTCCCCCTTCCGCCTTGAGCCGCAGAGCCCTCGCGAAGAGAGCGAGTGACCAGGCCCAGGGACACGGCCTGAGGACGCCGGAGCGGACGGCCGGGAGGAGGGAGCAGCGGGTGGGGGCGGGGCCGAGTGATCCCGAGAACAGCCGAGCGGGCCCGAGCGCCGCCGAGCGGGCCCGAGGCGCCGGGCCAGGCCGGAGCAGACTACGGGAGCCGACGCGGGCCGCGCGAAGCTGTTCTCGCTGAAGCAGCAGAAGAAGGAGGAGGAGTCGGCGGGCGGCACCAAGGGCAGCAGCAAGAAGGCGTCGGCGGCGCAGCTGCGGATCCAGAAGGGTAAGGGGAGTCGGGGGATGGGAGTGGAGGTGGGAGGTCAGAGCCTGGCTCGGGGTGATACGGGAGTCAGGTGTGGAGTAATGCGGCTGCCAGGGGTCAAAGGTGTCAGAAACGGGGAGGCCGTGGATGTGGGGATTGGAGACCAGGGCCTGGGGGCCGAGGGGCCACGGGTGGGGTAATATAATCACCAAAGTGGTCGGAGGTAGGGGGACCGAGCAGGGGGCACTGAGCGTATTCGGAAAGCTAGGCGTTTGATACTAGGGACCGAGAATCTGAGGGTGGCAGCGGAAGGGGGAGACCGGCAACTCGAGAGTCTGGGGGTCAGACTGGAACCTGGGCGACAGGAAGAGCAGCTACTGACGGTGGGGTCGAGGATTGAGGATCGGGGTGGGAGATTTAATGTATTAACGCTAGAGTCACTGGGAATCAGAGTCAGGCCTGGTGAAGTAGGTTTTGGGGCCTGGGTGTCGTGGGTCTGGGGGAGTCACATGTCAGTTTGGGGTGACAGGAGGAGGGAGGTGCCAGGGATTGTAGAGATAGGAGTAGGGTTGGGTTTAGACTATCCTCCTAGAGATGCTGGAAATCTTATGCTCAGAATAGTATAGGGTAGGAGGCTTGGGAACTCACAGATCTGGAGGTCAGATGGGATCCTGAGTTTAGGATGACAAGCAGAGAGGAGTGTATGGACAGCAGGCCAGGGATTGAGGGTGGTGGTGATTTAGGGTGAGGAAGGGGGATAAGATCCTTGCATCTGGGCAGACAAGTAGAGATTTCTCTAGAAAGCAGAGGTCACGGTCGGGATGCTGGGTTGGGGGTAGTCAGAGGCTCTTGGCGAGGCACATAGGAGTGGGAACATGTAGGAGCTGGGTTGGGGGACTTAGGACTGTGGATTCAGAAGAGTTGGAGCTTACCCTGGGTTAGGAGTTCAAGCACATCTCTGGTGTTCCATAGATGCGGAAGAGCCTGCCTGGAGACGCGGAGCAGCAGCAGGGAGAGGGTGGGGGTTGTGGCCCACTGCCCAGGACAGAGCCGGGGTCTTGGGAGAGGCTGTGGAGGCTCTGCCGGCACCTGCTCTGAGCACCCTGTCTCTCCCCTTCCCGGCCTGTTGCCCTTTTCTGCTGTGAAAACCCAGACATAAACGAGCTGAATCTGCCCAAGACGTGTGACATCAGTTTCTCAGATCCAGACGACCTCCTCAACTTCAAGCTGGTTATCTGTCCTGATGAGGTGAGGGCACGCTTAACTGGATTCTCAGGCACGGCAGGTGACACCACCTCAAGTTGGCATACCTGGTTAACCTGCCAGGCCTTGCAGAGCAGGGTTCTGACTCCTCTCCTCTTCCTTCACAGGGCTTCTACAAGAGCGGGAAGTTTGTGTTCAGTTTTAAGGTGAGTCTCAGGTGGGCAGGGGTGGCTCCCTGGGCTGAGGAAGCAACAGCTGAGGCCCCAGCCAGGCACTGCTGTGCACCTATCCACCTGCCCTCTCTTCTCCTGGAGCCAGGTGGGCCAGGGTTACCCGCATGACCCCCCCAAGGTGAAGTGTGAGACGATGGTTTATCACCCCAACATTGACCTCGAGGGCAACGTCTGCCTCAACATCCTCAGGTGAGGGCACTGGCCCTCCACTACGCTGCCCAGCCCTGCCTGCCAGGCCCCTTTAGTGACCTTGCACTATACCAGTCTCTTTCCCTCCCCTCCCGCTTGTGGTCTGTGTGTCCCTCTGTCTCCAGCTCATTTTCTGCCTCATGGCTTGACCTTGGCTTTCTCCCTGGCCTGTGCTTCTCCATACCCTCCCGCTAGCATTTCCCGACTGCGCTGTCCCATGCCCTGGGCCTGACCTGTTTGGTCCCAGCAGGGCCTGTGGTGGCTGCCCGCTCACCAGCCCCTATCATGATGCTCTCTGCCCACAGAGAGGACTGGAAGCCAGTCCTTACGATAAACTCCATAATTTATGGCTTGCAGTATCTCTTCTTGGTGAGTAGGGGTGGGGGATGGCCCTCTGCCTTCTGTGCTTGTTGACCTCCCCGCCCCCGCCCCCCATACCGGCCGCAGGAGCCCAACCCTGAAGACCCACTGAACAAGGAAGCCGCCGAGGTCCTGCAGAATAACCGGAGGCTGTTCGAGCAGAATGTGCAGCGCTCCATGCGGGGTGGCTATATCGGCTCCACCTACTTTGAGCGCTGCCTGAAATAGGGCTGGCGCATACCCACCCCTGCCAGGGCCACCAGCCCCGGCGTCCCCTGCAGATATTTATTGGGGGCCACAGGTGGGGGGACATGGGGCGGCCGGTGGGGGGAGTCCCATGCCCTGGCCGGCCACCCCTCCCTGCTACCCGCTCCTAGTTTGTTTTTTTTTAACCACCACGTGATTAAGGTCGGCGCTGCCTCCCCCGACCCGCTCAGCAATGGGAAATGAATTGGCTTGTCTAGCCCCTCGCTGGGTGCTGTCCAGCCCCACCCCCTACTCTGGGCTCTGGGGTGGGTGGCCATGGGGGTTGGGTGGCTGGGGATCCGGCACCCCACCCCTCCACCACTGGAGGCCCCACCAGGCTATTAAAGGGGAATGTTACTGCATGGCCTCTGCCTCTTCCTTTTGTGGGCTGGGAGGGGCAGGTGATGGCCGCCAGAGCTCCTGCAGCAAGAGTGGTGGGAGTTGTGTGCTCACAGGTGGTATGAGGAGACCCCCACCCCCGCCTTGGGCAGCAGCCTGCCCAGTGCCTGAGGCAGTGCTGGTGGGGGAATCCCAGCCCCAGGCCTCGGGCAGGATGAGATGAATCCCACTCTGGGACAAGGGAGGGTCAGGATCCAGTGACCACTGGCTTCCCGGCCAGTGAGCCGGCATAGGGGCTAAGTCCGCACCATCTACTGTTCTGCCCTCCTGCTGGAGGAGGAAAACTGCCTGATGCCACTGGGTACCTGAAGTTCGGAAACATCAGCGCGAGTTCTGGGTCCCTCGGATGAGCAGGGCTCTACAGTGGGTGACGTGGTGGGGTGCAGGACCACCGGGTGGCTGGAAGGAAGGCACCCGAAAGGTCACCAAGCCCACAGGGCCAGGATGGGACAGGACCTCCGCTCCCTTAGCCTGGACTTGAACCTACGGAATACCAAGCTTGCGGCAGCGAGGCGGAAGCTGCTGCGCATGCGTTTGTGGCAGGCACTTTCCTCGGCGCGTGCGCACGCGCGCTCTCGTCCCCGCCCAGCATTCCGGGCGCCGGCGGGGCGTGTGACGTCAGGTGGTTTAATCCGGAAACGGTGGTGACGGCTGAGGCGACAGAACGGAGGGGCTGTCGTTGGTGGGCGCTCCAGGGCTCTGAACGAGAGGAGCGTGACCCGGAAACGGAAGCGAGTCCCCATCCCAACTCCGGTGAGTCGCCCCTACGGGGGCGCGGGTCCTGGGTGGGCGCGAGGGCGGCGGCGTTCGAGGGCCTCGCCCCTGCCTGGGACCCTCACTTATCCTCTGGGTCCCCATGTTGTTTTGCCTTCGGTGCCCAAGACCCCCAAAAGGCCCCAAGAGTTTCCTGGGTGAACAAGGCACCCCATCACCTAAAATCCCGCCCTCTGTCCAGGAGTCCCCAACATCCCCCAGCCTTATTCTCCGCACCCAGATTCCCTCAGCATTTAAGACCCCTGCCCTAAACTGAATGCCATCCACGCGCTGTCAGCTTCGGAGCCCCCACATCGACCCTGTCTGTAGCACTTGCGGCCTCCAGCTCCTCATGTTAGGGATCCTGTCAACTGGTCTTTCCTTGGAGCTCCAGGTTCCGAGCCCCCTCTCCCCGCGCCCGTCCCCGTGCTGTATCCACACATGGTTATCTCCAGCCTAGGTCCATTGGACATTCTAGGGTCTCATCCCAGAGTCAGGAGGAGATTGAAGCCCAGAACCTCCGTAGGGGCACTGTGGAGTAAAAGGAGCTGGGGTGGCTGGGGCTCCCCAAGTTCCAGGCTCCACGCTTTGGCCTTTCCATTCACTCGTTTTCTCTCTGCTCACCCTTTTCCTTTTTGTGAGCCCTCGTCTGTCCCCGCCCATACACAATGTGACCCCAGCTGTGCCTCACACCACCCTGCAGCCAGGTTTCACGCTAGCCCCAGGCTTACTGGTAGGCTCCTGCGGCCATGGACCTGTTGTTTGGGCGGCGCAAGACGCCAGAGGAGCTGCTGCGGCAGAACCAGCGCGCCCTGAACCGGGCCATGCGAGAGCTGGACCGTGAGCGACAGAAGCTTGAGACCCAGGAGAAGAAAATCATCGCAGACATCAAGAAAATGGCCAAGCAGGGCCAGATGGTAAGCTTAATTGGGCACAGGCTGACTCCAGGCCAGGTGCCGTCGCTTGGTCAGACCCTGGGGCTGCAGCAAATGGGAGAAAACACTAACATGTTCTAAGGAAATGGAATGAGTGGGGCTTTCCTTAGTTTCAGATTCCAAAACTGCTGCCTCTGTGGAGTTGATTTTAGAGCCTTGAGTAATTAAGAGAACAACCCTGCGAAGAGCCAGGTGTCAAGTGTGTCAGAACAGATGTTCAGTGAGGGAGTAATAGGGAAACTCAAGAGTGGCCCATGCCAGACCACTTAGAATCGTGGGCAGCAGTGGGAGCTGAGGGCTGAGTTGAAGGAGTTACTTCAATAGATGTGGTATGAGATCCACTTGCCCTGAGGGCAAACTAGCAAGAGATGGCCGAGTTTTGGCCTGAGCAGCTTGTTTGAGGAGGTGCCATTTCCTGGGATGGGCAAAGCAAGGAGGAGCTTTGGGGAGGACATCACAGCTGAGCTTGGATACCTTTGTATGTAAATCAGGATTTGGTGCTTGAGGTGAGCACGGCCTATGTGTGGTGGAGGGGGATTTTCTTTGGCCATGATTGAAATTCAGGAATGGGTGTTGACTAGCCATTGAGGAAAAAGGATTCCTAAAGGGTGGGCCTGGCTTTTCTTCAGGAGCGAGAAGCCTACAGAGGGGTCTGTGCAGTGGAGACCCAAGACGCGGGGGGGGGGGGGGGGGTGAGCACTGGGGCAGATCCCCAGGAGCCCCTGAAGGCCTCAGTGGGCACGCGCGAGCACACCCCCAAGGCTCGCTCCCTGCCCTCTGTCCCCTCTTCAGGATGCGGTCCGGATCATGGCGAAAGACCTGGTGCGTACCAGGCGGTACGTCCGAAAGTTTGTGTTGATGCGGGCCAACATCCAGGCTGTGTCCCTCAAGATCCAGACGCTCAAGTCTAACAACTCAATGGCACAAGCCATGAAGGGCGTCACCAAAGCCATGGGCACCATGAACAGACAGGTTTGCCTCTCCCCATCACCCCCCACCCCTGCTGACCTCTGGCCCAAACTCATCCTCCTCCCCCTTTCAGCTGAAATTGCCCCAGATCCAGAAGATCATGATGGAGTTTGAGCGGCAGGCAGAGATCATGGACATGAAGGAGGAGATGATGAACGACGCCATCGATGACGCCATGGGGGATGAGGATGACGAAGAGGAGAGGTTTGGAGACGGCTGGCAGGAAGGGTGGGGAGGGATAGCTGGCTCTGCACCTGATCTCATAAGCATTCTCTCCTTATCTAGTGATGCTGTTGTAGCCCAGGTCCTGGATGAACTGGGGTTGAGCCTGACAGATGAGCTGTCAAGTGAGTGTTTACATCTTGGGCCCTGTGTTAACCCTGTGACCCAGCCACCACCTCCCTCCCCTGCATTACTCCCTTCTGCATGGGTGCTCTTCCTAATCCCATCTCTCTGCAGACCTCCCTTCCACCGGAGGCTCCCTCAGTGTGGCTGCCAGTGGAAAGAAAGCAGAGGCTGCAGCCTCCGCCCTGGTGGACGCAGACGCAGACCTGGAGGAGAGGCTCAAGAACCTTCGAAGGGACTGACTGCCCATGCTGCCCCAGGGAGCCAGTGGATGGCCCGATATTTTCATTGTACCTTCGGTAATAAACGAGGTTGGACACTAGTTCTGGGCCTGTGCGACTGACCTGACGTGAGCCAGGCTGGGTTAGGAAGTCACTCAGGCGGCTTGGTAATGTGCCAGTCAGTCAGGGTGTGGGATAGAGGGCTGGAATGGTTTCATCTGGGCAAGCCTACCAGGTCCTCTGGGCTCCGGAGGTGATGGTGAGCTGCGAACACTGGTCCAGCACCCCTCCTGCCTGAGCCTCGAGGCTAGCACCCCCAAAAATGTTGGTGGGTTCCCTCAGACCTCTTGGTATAATTCCAGGAAGCCAGGCATATCCCCCAGGGATACAGTGCCCAACTTTATTAGCCAAGTGGAAGTCTCAGCCCACCCAGCTCACTGTGATACCCTGTCTGGTTATAAGAAATGTTCTGCCCCAGTCTAGGATGCAGCATGCACCTGGGGATTCCCCCTGCTTGCCCACAGATCCGCCAGCCCACCACGTAACCCTCCCCAGACACCAGATGGCTAGAGACATGAGCCCCACCCCATTCAGCACAAGGGCTTCGGGGAGGGACTGATGGCAGGCAGACACCAGGCCCAGGACCACTGCCCCCACCAACCAAGGCCTGAGTAATTGGTGAAGTTTTTATTAAATCCACAGAAGTAAAAACCATATCGTGAGGGACTAGGGTACGGGCCACCAAGGAGTGGGAGCCAGGCCACCAGAGGAAGGAGAATGGGAGAGGAGTGACAGGACAGAGAACAGAGCCAGGCTGGGCTGGCTCAGGGGCTGCCCAGCCTCAGGGGCCCTCACCAGGGCCACTGGACAGGTCCTGGGCACTCAGGCCAGCACCAGGCAGGCTCAGCGGCGGGGGCTCCACCAGCACAGCAGAGAACTTGGTGTCCCCGAAGGCCTCATTCATGCGAGTCTCAAAGAAGCGCTGCAGGCCAATGATGGACTGCACGTCGGCCTTGTCCTGCCAGCAGATTACAGTGGATGGGTCCTAGCTCTCTGCCCCCTCTCTGCCCCCCAGCCTCCCCTCCTCCAACTCACCCCTATCCCCACAGGCTCACCTCAGTCAACTTGTTGAACTGCTTGAACATGCGGCCCACATCCTGGGCAAACTCCTGGGGGGAGCTATAGGGGGGTGACAGCTTCTCCTGGAGGCGGGCTCGGATAAGGGTCAAGTCCAGGGTGCCCCCAGGCTGATCCTGCAGGCAGAGGCCACAGGCTGAAGGTGAGGCCGAAGAGCCCCTGCAACTCCCACCCTCCCAAGTCCCAGAACTCACCAGGGAGAAGGTGGAGTCAGTAGCCAGCTGGTGCAGAGGCCGGCAGGGCTCATGGCAAAAGAGGGCCAGCAGAACGCGCTCACACTTCTGTAGACGACATGGACATCAGAGTCAGAGGAGTTCGGGGCTGCAGGAAAACCCAGCATATGGGTCCCCCCCCCCCCATCACCTGCTGGTTGGCTGGTGAGAGCTTGGCCACCACTCCAGTACTATCCCCCCCATCCAGGTTCAGGCTGCCATCCTCCTCCTTCAGGTCGGGCAGCACATGGCAGAGAGAGCAGCTCCACTCCTCCCTGGAGGAAACGGAGAGGTGAGGGGCTGCATGGGACCCAGCCCAGCCCTCCACCCTGCAGACTCCACAGCCTCGCACCCTGGCACATCCTGCAGGACAGGCAGGTGGCAATCCAGGTGGAAGCAGAACTCGCACTGGTTGCACATGACCAGGTCACCTGGCTTCTGGCAGACACGGCAGATGGTGGCACTGTCATCCAGGGAACCTGGGCCACCAGCTGGGGCTGAGGTGCCCTCTGGAGCCACCACCTCCAGACCTGAGCTGGTGCTGCCACTGGGTGAAGCCAGGCGGGGACCCTCTGCACTAGGGCCCTCCCCCAAGGCCATCAACACAGGCTTGGTCTCTGGGCCCTCGGTGGCAGCAGGTGGAGCTCCAATGGCAGCCTCTGTTTCTTCCTCCTGCGAGGAGGCAGGGGTGGTTTAGTGGGATGCTGGCTGGGACAGCAGACCTCCACCCCCCAGCCACAGTACCCAGGAGCAGGCTTACCTTGACAATGGCCATTCCAGGCATGGGAGGGGCCCCAGGGACCCCCGAGGGCGCAGTCCCAGGCTGGCCAGCAGCGGCGGCGGCAGCACCTCGCTCAATGACGATGAGGTTGTAATCTTCAGTGGTGCTGCCTGGGAAGACCTTGAAGACTGGTGGCTGGCTGTCAGCCGTGAGATCCAAGTCCAGGCGTTCAAGGCTCACCCGTGGCACCTTACGCATGAGGCCACTCACCTCGCCGTCACCTGAGCGGGGCCTGTGGGTGTGGCTTGTGTTGAGCACCCGACCCCATGACCACCCTGTCCCTACATGCACCAAAGGACAGTCACACTCACCGCTTCACCCCCGACACATGGGGCTCAGCACTCGAGTAAGGGTCATCTGCCCGGGACACAGAAAAAGATAGGTTAGATGAACCTAGGATGTTGGATTTCTCCCACTTACCGGGCAGAAACCACTCACCTGATCCGAAGCCGTAGCCTTCCTGCACCTCCATAGGCTGTAGGAAAAGCAAGAGGACCTCAGCAGGCCGGCCACCCACAAGCCTCAGGCCCCTCTCCTCCCCCACAGCCCCCTCCTCTACTCGCCTGGCTGCTGCCAGAGCCCTGCTTGCTCAAAGGCCCCGGAGCCCGAGGAGGGGCCATGGGTGCCGGGCCTGTGGAGTTGGTGCCAGGACGCTCGGCCACAATCTTGCCTGCAGCAAGGAGGTAAAACAGCTTAAGGCATAGTGCCTGGGAGAGCAAGCTTCAGTGAGAGCAAGACAAACACCCACCAAAGGCCTCTGCACTCTTGGTCCAGGCATTGAGGTCCCACTGAAATTTCATCTCGCCATGGGGCTCCACAGGGTCCACAATCATCTTAAGGGCCCGGTGCAGTTGGAAGTAGATCTGGGGGAGAGCGGTACATGAGTACAGAGGTAAAGGACAGTGCTCCAAGGCCTTGGGAGGTGCTGACCCGGAACCCACCGCCTGGGTGCCCACCAGCACACACCAGCTTCTTGGAGAGCAACAAAGCCGTGTTGTTGTCACTCTCCAGAGCCCAAGAGGCAAAGCGCAAGATGTGTTCCTGGTGCTTCTGGATCTTGGTCATGGTCCAGTGCTGCCGTTCCAGGCGCTCCTGCTGCCCCTCAGTTACCTTCTGCAGGTGGAGAGCAAGATAGGCCAGGGAGGAAACAGCACTAGAACCTCTCCCCACCGAAGGATGCCATCAGCAGCCAGCAGAGGGAGCCAAACCCCCAGGACGCTGCTACCAGAGTTAAAGCGACCTGTCGACAAGCACCACACAGAAGGTACCTGGGCATCGTTGACCAGCACACGGCCCCGCTTGTTCAGTTCCTTCATGATCTGCAGGATGGCCATCTTAACGTCCACTTGCACGCGCTTCTGTACGTCAGACACCTGGCGGATCCTGGGGGGCGGAGGGTGAGATCAGGGCCAGTAGGGCAGGTGCTCACCGCAGGACCTCTCCCATCACACTGGCTTCCACACTTACGAGCTGCGAACCTCCTTGGTGTTCTTCTGCAGTGTTGCATGCTTGTCCCCAAGGCGCTTCACCAATGAGGCCAGGAGCTTGCGCTGGTTTCTTACTGCATCCTCCAGGAACTGGTACCTGAGGGCAAACAGAGGTGGGCCCGGGCGCCCAGCATGGGAATGGGCAGCACCCACCCACCATGCCTCAGGACTCACTGGTGGTCTTTGTGGGCGTTGAGCTGGCAATCCCGGCAGGTGAGGGTGTCGCAGCTCTCGCAGAACAGCACAAGGGGCTCGTGCTTGTGCACATTGCAATACACAGTGCGCTCACCGTCCCTCGACTTGGCTGGCCCTGAGGAATGGGGTCTATGAAGCAGGAGCCGGTCCTCACCGCCTCAACTCAAGGGGCAGACAGACTGGGGCCTCACAGTGTCTGTCCTGCAGCCCTGGCTTATCTGCTAAAAAACGCAGAGGGCCTACAGCAGTGAACAGGGAAGGGCCCAAATCCTTGCTCTGAACGCCCTCTGCCCTAATCTTGACCAAGAGATCCGCACTCCCTTCTTTCATCTTCTGGGAGTGACAACTTAAGTGTAAGGACGATGGCCTCTGACAACCACCCCACTGCTCCCTCTACTGAAAACTCCTCCTAGTGGACACTCCAGAGAGCTCCTCCACCTCTGCAGCCCCCACTGCTGGGCTCCCTTTCTCGTCCACTCAAAAGACTGTGTCGCAGGGGAGGGGACTCTGGCAACCATGGCATCCGGACACACGCAAAAGCTTTCTGACTCAGACAGAAAGCAAACAAGGACCTAAAGACATGTCAGGTACCTTTTCCTCCTGAGCCACGCCTGGAGACCTCTTCTCTCTTCTCTGGTAAAAGGAGACCACACCATCTTAACAACCCACGAGGAGCCTTGCAAAGCCTTCTCAGGCTGGACAAAGTTGATGTCAGACCAGGACCCTCAGAGAGGGGTCAGGCCCCCGCACAGGGAAAAGGGTCTTAAGTGCTCAAAGCAAAACCCCCCAAAGACTAATACACCACAGTGACCCCCACCGCTTCCCAGAATCTGCTGCCATTAGATAACTGCTTGGGAACAGCCAGCCCCTTCCTTCCCAATCACATCTGATGCTACACTGACCCAGCCTGAGACATAAAAACATTGAGATACAGATAAGGCAAATCTCAGTCCCCCCAATACAGCCCCCTCCTGCACCCTGATCTTTGCTTAGAACCCAGGACCCCCTTGGAGACCCCTGCCCTTCCCTCCTGGCTCCTCATGACTCACGACCTCCATCTGGATTTTCCCATCAAAACTGTCCTCTGGGCTGCAGGAGCCACGGCATGACTACCAAAACACCATTCACAGGGAGTTCTGGATGAAAAAACCAAGCCCAAGCGCCTCTCCGAAGAACTGCCACCACGTTCACAGAAAAATCTGAAGATGCCTAGTTAGACTTTGAAACATCTGCAACCTAACAATAAGAACACTTAGAACATCACTGGTCAGTGCCAGTCTGAGAACACT